GATGTGGGTTGGGTGGTGGGTTCCTGAGCCAGATGCCCAACACGGGCTGTGCAGTGCAAGCAAATAAAAGTTGGTTGCTGTTTTTCGTATTACTGTAGCCAGGCTGGCTAGGGGAGAAGCCAGACTAGCTGATAAAAACCAAGCAATCCTGGCTCCTGCTTTTCCATCTCTCCTTCCTCCGTCAAGAAATGAAACCTTAGGCAAAACCTCAGATTACAGCGGGCTGGGGCCCTTGGGGCGCAGCAGCTGGGCTGGCTCAGGGGGTTGAGCAGAGCTGCTCGGGGAGAGCTGCAGGCACACGGATCTCTGCATGGTTTCAGGATGCTGCTCTCAGAGCCCACGGAGGTGTTACCGGCGTTAAACGAACTGAACTGTCAGCTTCCCCAAGCCTTATTTCTGCTGCTGTGATCATAAAAATAGGATGCGGGTGCYGTGCAAATGCTGCAGCCAGGCTCCGTGGCTGTAAATCCCGTGTGGGAGACGTCCCGGTGGGAAGCCGCGCAAGGGAGAGGAGCCGCAGCTCCCACGCGCAGCCCGCCAGGAAAGGGGAATAAGGCAGGGGGAGGATGGTTAACCCTGCGAGATGGGRAATAGTTCCTGTTTTTGCACATGAGTGGCTTGTAGAAGCTTCTGGCAGCGCCTGGCGTGTGTGCTTGCTGCTAGGGAAGCGGGGATGCTTTTCAGAACCGATCCTCCCCAAGCAGCTTTTTTAGCTCCCTGTGCAGTTTCCGAGACACGTGCCCTGCAGTAAGTTCAGCTGCTTTTTKGGGGACATCTGTTGCATCTTGCTGAGTGATTATGGTCATTTTTTTTTTTGAGTTTTACTGATCTTGCTGGARGTGGAGCTTTCACCCAAGCCCGTTTGCTCTAAAGCCGTGTCCCCCGTGACATTCAGCTGTCACAGTGAGCATTTGTAGTCCAAAGACAYTGGTACTGTTCTTAATCAAAGGTTAATGCACCTACTTTTGATATGGCTCTTTGTAAAGCACTTTTTTCTYCTTCTGCGGTTGAAACCAAGGGTAGGCACCTGTGAGGCTACTGCAGGAGGGTATTTTGGAGTGAAATCAGGCTCGTTATTTCTGCTCACAACTTGAGCAATGTTCCTGTTCTGCCTCTCTTGCAGCATTAAGTGAGTAATGCTTCATTGCATGTATTTCCCACAGCAACTTGGGCTCAATTTTGCAGAATTCATAAGTGAAAGGGCCCCTCGTCTGCTCTCRGTCCTGCTCTCATAGCGCTGCACACGGACAGTTGATAATTTCCAGCCTTGTCCCTTGAAAACATCAGATTTATATAAAACCACAGYGGAGTGGAAAGCAGGGGCACTGCTTACCTAATAGATATAGTTTATTTGAAGTATTGYGGTTTGCCAAATGTGTTCTTGCACGGCACAAGATATATAACACCTGAGAGGGATAGGCACTCGGACAAGACTACACAGTTCAAGTCATTTCCTTGGTTTTGCTCTCCAAAATGCTTCATTTAGTTACTTTTGAACCTATCAGACTGTGGTGAAATTGTGCTGCATTGCCAGAGTCCTGCATGGCTTACGGAAAAAAAAAAATCCCACTGCTGGGAAATTAAGCAGAGGAGAAAAAAAAATCCACTTTATGAGCAGCCCTGCAGTCTTTTATTATTAYTTGTGCATAAATAATTAAGATAATTCCTCCTCAGTGCTGGAACAAAGCAAAAAAAGTGTTGCTGTTGGCTAGGGTAGTGGTGAAGCTGCATGCCCCTTGGATGTGGGGCTCCATGGGGTGATCCCGGCTGCACCAGGGATGCTCTTCTTGGAGTCCTGCTTGCACCCTGCTCCGGAGGGCTCTGGGGTCCCRTAAGGATATTTCCATGCTGGTGTGAGATGCAGCTTTTCCAGGTGTTTGGCAGGTGCTGGTGCGGTGGATGGAGCCACGTGCTGCCTGCTGGGTTTGCTTTGGGGTGGTGTTACCCAGCCCCGAGGGGGTTCCTGCAGATAAGGGGTTATAGGCTGTGTGCTGAGGGCTTCCCTCCTGGCTGGGCTCTTCCCAATCTCCTGCTAGAGCTGAACTTGTGACCCACAGGATAAATCCATTGGTTACTGCTATAAGCTTGAAAATAAAGCATGCTGAGAGGGGCCCGTTGAGCCAGGTCTGCCTGGGAGCGAGGAGCAAGCGAGGGGATTTCTCAGCCCCTTCCACCTCTCTTTTCCCCTGCTCCTTGTGTGCAGTCCTGCCTCTGCAGTACGGCAGGGGAAGGTGGAAACTCCCCTGCGGGGCCACTCTGTGTCTCTCCAAACGTTCTCCAAGGGTGAAAGAGGTGGAGACTYGCAGAAAAGCAGTTGCAAAGTGCCTTTTTTCCCCCTCTGGTGCTGCCTTTCGTCAGGGTGACCGGCGAGCTGCTGGGCGCACAGCTGGAGCAGGGGAAGAGGAGGAGGAGGGAGGAAGGCTTTGCTGAAGGGCCTGACCTCGCTGCAGTTCCTCTGCCACCTCAGAGAAACGTTTGGGCTTTTGCTTAAAACCCTCCTGCGGCTCTGGACTCCTGAGTGTTCCCAGGATGCCACCAAAAAAATGCCCCTTCCCTTTCAATATGGATGATGGTTTCGTAACCCACGGCTGCCAGCAGGGCCAGGGAAAAGGGTTGAAGTTTTCCTGACTTCCAAAGGGCAAGGGCTCTGAGCAGAAGCGTTTTTCCAGAAAATGCCAGCCGTTTAGCAATGCTATCCCAATCGATATCCGCTGGCTTTCTGCGCCGCGTGTGATTCTGACTTTCTGGAAAATGCTGCTGAGTTGAGGTTGTAATTATGGACTGAGTGGCATATTTGCTGGGAGAAAGCAGGAGGCTGTGATTTGTGGCAAGGCCGTCTCTGAGAGGGAAAGAGGGGGAAGAAAACAGAAAAGGCACCAAAAAAACCTCCTCCTCTAGTTTTTTTCGTCACTGTGGAGGTGTTGCTTTGTTTCCCTTGGGATGCCAAATGCAGGAGCACAAAACCACGTTCTGCTCTTGCCTTCCTGCTTTCTTTGAGCGCTAAAATACCAGGTTTGGAGAAAGAGGCAGCTTAATTACAAGCTGGTGGCTTTGGACCTTGCAGACTCCTTGGCTAAGGGGCCAAGAGCATTGATGCTCCTCTTGGTACTTGGGGTCTGTGGGGTGCCTGGTCTTTCATCCCCACTGTTCAGACTTCTGCCCTTTTCAGGAAAAGGCTGTTCTCCCCCTTTAAGGTTTGAAAAGCAGGGAGTGGGACTAGTCTTTCCTTGAATGGATGTGGATGAGTGAATGGGTGTGGATAGAGAAGCTCTCCAACCCCTTTGACAAGATGCAAGGAGGAGGAGGTTCAGAAGTCCCCTCTCTCGAGCACCTTCCTTGTTGTTGTGTCCCCACTGCTGCTAATGAGGGGAATTTCCGTCTCTTTTGCTGTATCCTGGGGATTTTGTTCCTGTGCTGAGGATCCTGAGGACCGCAGTGGGATTCGTGCAGATGGCCCTGCTCTCCTGTGCGTGCTCGGGAGGTCCTGCTGCCCCGGGCAGGAGCACTTGTTTGCTCTAGCAGTGCAATGTCCCCTGCTCCACGGCCTCCATCCCAGCGTTCAGGGGCCGGGGAGGCAGAAGCCTCATTTGCTTTTCCCAGCGCTTTCAGGAGAGGGTTTCCATAGCCCAGGAGGAGACTGAGTGCCCTCATCTGAGGGGACGTGGCCTGGTTTTCATCCATGTGACACAATCCTGGGCCCCTCGTTAGGAGGGACGAGGGCGGCTGCCCGTGCCTGGCTCCGCGGGCGGCACCTTGACGGCAGCCCCCGCGCCGCTTCCAGGCGCGCTGGCACCATTCACTTCCTCTCGCCCGCGCTTATCATGGGACCATTGCGCGGCRGGGCCGAGCCCGCCGGTTCCTCGGAAGGGAAGCGGCCTGTCCCAGGCCTGCGGTGCCGGCGGCAGCGTGTCCGGCCGGGATTTGTCACCCGTCTGCACAGCGTTTCCCTGAGGCCAGGGCCTCCCTTCTGCACCACCATGAAGGGGCTGTTGTTGTGCCCTTCCAGCCGTCCTTCCCCTCTCCACACCCATCCCTTCCTCTGCCTTTGTATCCCGAGTGTTATTCAGGGAATCAGCTTTTCCAGGACGCTCAGCTTGTTCAGAGCTCGGTGCTCTCTGGCCTCTCGTCCTTCCTGAAGCTAAGGGCGACCTTGCTGCRAGCGCGTGCGGGAGGCAGCACATCCATGGGGACAGGAGACTGGGATGCAGAGACCATCTGTGCAGGGCTGCTCACCTCGCCCTGGTGTGACACTGCCTTAATAAAAGTGGATTATATCCAAAGTGCAATGGAGAGGAGCTCAGAGGATGCCCTCCCACCCTGCTGGAGCCATCCGGGTCCCTTCCAGGTGATGCCCTTGCCCATAGAGGTGCCACAGTGCGACTCTTTGCTTATGAGAGGGAACTGCACGGACCCAAGTCTGTGTAGCTGCATCCTCATGAGCCTCTTCATCATCATCATCCTCAACGAGAAGGTGGTGAGTGAGCCCCATAGCGCTGCCATGGTCCCCTGGGATCACCCCACCTGGCAGGGAGCTCAGTTTCCTGGTGCAGCCCCCTGACATAYAGGAAACATTGATGTGTTATCCTCCCTCTTGCTAAAGAAGTAGTAGCCCGTTTTTTCCACACCTTATATTTTTTTTCTGCTACTTAACATTCTGTGCATTACAGTGGTTTGGCTTGTTAACCTGCTCTTATTCCTGGTGTCCTTCCCACCCCACATTTCCCTCCAATGGCAGCACCAGCAGGAGCTTCATCCCAGACACCAGATACTCGTGTTAAATGTTAACCTTTGTTTTCCTAAGGYGCCGAACTTCACTCTTTTGGTTAGAAATGAACAGCAAAAATCCCCTCTGGGTGCAAAACRAGCCAATGTGGCCGTGTTCCCGCTCCCCCAGCCGAAGGCTCCTCCTTCCGAAGGCGTTCCAGGTGCTGTGTTGGGATCCGCACTCCGAGCTCYGCTCAGCTCGAGCTGCTTCTCCTTTGCACCTATCAGCTCTTACTATTTTAAACACGCAGGCTTTTTTGTTGCTGCTGTTCTGCTTCGTTTTTCCCTGGAGAAGCCTGCATGACATCGCCTCTTCCCTTTGGAAGCAAGGGAAACGGTGGGATTGATTTGGATCTATGGAGCTCTCGCTGTAATTGGGAGATCTGCCCAAAATGTGGTCCGTGTGGGTAAGYGGAGTCTGTTGAGCTGTTAAATTATTAAGTGCTTTGTCAAAGCGTTGCGTGTGCTTGCATAGAAAGGGCTGAGTACAAAAAGTAATATAAAAATTGGCACGGAAAGTGGTAATTAAAAATGTATTAGTTGGGCGATAAGACTGASCAGGCAGTGAGGCAGGTACTCGGGTTGGTGTTTCGAGACTGTCCTGACACTTGAAGGGGTTGTTTTTAATTTGTGGGGGCTCTTTAAAATTGTAAATGTTGCCCATGGTTTTATTGCAGAAAAGTTAAGCAGCGCGGAACTTTTAGGTTGCTTTAGGATGTGTTTTTATATTTGCAGAATTCGTTTTTTGGGGTTGTTTTGGGGGTTTTTTGGTAATGTAGATTGTCTTTTCTACCACTTCTGTGATAATGGAACAACACAGCAGCGATCAGATTTTAAATGATTTGTGAGATCTAAGCCAAGCAACATGAATTAATCCTACTTCTATGTGTATTTAATATAAGCCCTTATTTCACTCAAATCCTTGAGCTTTGTACTCGTGCAGTAAAACTACCTCCAGTTTTAGCAGAGGAATTTTTAGGCGCCTGTGGTTCTTACTAGTCCTTTTTCTATAACTGGCTTGTATTTACTTTGTAGCTTGAAGAAGGTATCTAAAGCAAACACAAAAGGAGTTTCTTTTGGTTAGTTCGTTTTGGTTCAAATGCCTTTTGAAACTACAGAAAATCAAAAAGCAAATATTTTCTTGCCACTGCTCTCTGAAAACAGGGGGGTGGTAGGTGGCATAGGCACTTGTTTGTTGTATGGAAGTTATAATTAAGCAATGTTATTTGCAGGTTTCAGAATAGCCTATTTCTTATTACATTGGCTCCCGCTGGCTCCTTGTGGAAGCRAACCTCCCTGCACAGGCTCTGGGATGACCTCTCCACTCCAGATAGCAGGAGTTTGTCTYCAGTGTTGAAATCTGCATTAATTTTTACCAGGATTTGCTAATTTTTAACAAGCCAGGTAGCTTCTGTTGGGTGCCAAGTGCATCCTGCGTGTGACATCTGGGAGACCAAGTGACGAAGGGGGGTCCCGGGGGACACGTGGGACCCTGGGCAAAGGGCGCTCGCTGCTCACRGCTGCACCACTCTGCCACTGGAGCAGTCGGGTTTAAGTAGGTCGGGCACTGCAAAGACAGACTGGTGGTAGGAGTTTACCCACATGGAGAGGGGAAGCGAGGTGCACTGTGAGGTTTGCCCAAATTCAGGCTAAGGATTTTGGAACTGCTGGGGGATGGAACTTAAACCATCTCCCTCAGCTTACGGCTTCCATTGCTTCAAGCCATAAATGCTGTTTGGTGATGAGTTGCATCCACTGGTGCTTTTAATTCCAGCTGTGCTCTGATCCAGGGCCTTCAAGGAGCTCCCGTCCTTCAGTGATGGAAGAAAGACTTACTACCTAGCAAAATGCCAGGTCCCAGCTGATCTTTCGTGAGCTTATTGATGTGTTTGTATGAGCCTTTTAAATTTGGATAACATACAATAATAGCTATTATCCCTAATGCCTTCTTTTCAGAAGTACTGCTTATGGCAGGGAAAAAGTAGCAATTCATTGCTAAAATAGCTGCTCCTCATATGGCCAAGGTGGGTGAATATTTGAAAGCTGCCCATGTCTATAGGAAGCCCCCATGCAGGAGGAGAGGGGGTGACTCTCCTGGACAGGACATGGACTTTGCTGCAGGCAGGGCTCTCTGAGGTGACCGAGGAGATGGGGATGCCCTCCCAACATCTGTGTGGTTCCTGTCTTCTCACCAGCATGGACATTGGAGCATCCCCTGCATGGAACCAGTCGAACTGGCTCCGTGTGGGAGCAGGGACTGGCACTAGTGGTGGTTGGGGCTGTGCTGGGCACCAAGAGGGTCTTTGGGTCTTTTCTTCCCAGATCTTTGCTTCCTGGAACAACATTCCAAGGGAGGACACGGCCTCACCTGGCCTCACATTCGCTTTCCAAGTCTCTACTCCTGGAAATCCCGGGACTTTTTGCAATAGTTAAATCTAAAGCTTTAATACTCAACTTGTAGGAAGGGGGGATTTTTGTGGGCAGGTGGAGGAGGCCACAGTGCGTAGCCAGGGCAGGAGAGATGAGTCTCGTAGCTGCTGTGCAATGTGCAGTGCTCCCTAAAACCCCGCTGGGCAACGAGACGGTCCCTCGAATTGCATCCAGGTGACATTTTCCTTTCTTCTATCAGAGTTTAAATTTTTGCTGGAAGGTGTTAGAGGAAAAAGTCTGTTCTCCATGGGCTAATCCACATATTTTATACTTTTCACAAAGGAATGGCAGTCGGTCCCTAAACCACCCCGCAGGTCTCTGCTGAGAGCTGTCATTAAGACGTTGCCATCTATTAGCAACCTGGAGAGTCATTTGTCGAGTGACGGCACATGAAGCGCGGTTGTCAAAATAGCAGCTGTGACTGCAGCGCCCGCCAAGGTGCTCCTGTCATGCGGGTAGGCGTCGCTATCGAAACGYGTGTTCAATTTTTGGCAATTGGGAAAAAAAAAGAGAGAAATTTGATGTTAGGCCTTGTATTTCTTCTGACGTGCTGTAGAGGTTACAGCAAAACCCTCAATGTGAGCTGTTATCCATCACACCGTAACCTGGGTTTATTCTTCCGTCCCGGGGCGTTGCGTGCTTTGCATTTCAGGTTTCCCTGGCTAATTATAGATGGTCTCGCCTAGTAAGCGTCGCTGCATGTTCTTCCAGGCGTGTTTTCCGAGAGCTTTATTGTTTCTGCTCGGCGGATCCCCGCCTCCCGCGGCCTGGCCCGCGGGGAGAGGAAGCTCCCGCTTCCTCCTGCTCTGCTGGCACCGTGGTTTCCAGAGGGCCTTTTCCATCCCCGGGTCCTGCTTGTTGCTCGGGACGCAGGGCTCCAGGCAGGAGCTCTGTGGCAGCCCGTGCCCCACCAGCRCTTTGCGGTTTCGGCACCTGCCCTGGGGGGGTTTCGAAGCAAACAAGCTCTAGGGTTGAGGATTAATGAGAGCTGGAAAAGCACGAGCGGGATCTGTTGGTGTTTCGGCAGCTTGACCGTCTGTTAATGCCCTTGAATAGCAAAAACAGCTTTTGCTGGGAATGCTCGAAAATCCCCAAACCTAGCTTCAAAAACACACGGCCTGAGCTAAAGAGGCATCTTTTTCCCCCCACTCCTTCTCCTCTTAAGGGAACTGAGGTCTCTTGGAAATGCCCATGAAGTCCAAGCCTGCAGCATGGTTTTTGGTGCTAGTTTGCTTCTGAGAAATCAGAGTGCTGAGAAATGGGATGTCAGAAAGGCGAAACGGTCTGGTTGTAGCCTGCCTAACCACAGATCCTCCGTTAATCGCGGTTGTTTAAGCCGCCCTGGTTTTGGCTGAAACCAGATGGTACCCAGGTTTCTGGTTTTCTTATTGCCTTATTTCTGTGGAAACRGTCCTTTTTACTTTGCTGAATATCTTGTGTGTGCCAAGCAGTGAGGAGCTGGRCAGTGCAGGAGAGGGACCCTACTGTGTTTCCCCATTGGAACAGGTCATTTTTAAGGAGTGTGGTTACATCTATTGATACTTGTCTAAAGATTGCCAGTGTATTTAACAAAGTTTCATCAAATACGGAGTTTCACATGCAAAACTTCCATTAAATTCAATGTGCACACTTTTTAATTTTTGATGTGTTCTTGTATTTTCAGGGGTGCTGTTTTCTGCATGCGACTTTAACACAAAGTGTTGGGTTAAGGTCTKTATTTGATTTATTCAGTGCTACAAGATGAAGTTTTTAGGCACACAGGGAAGGCTCTCGGCACCAGACAGGGGTCTGTGCCGGAGCCCCTCGCCCCGTGGCCCCTTGCAGTGGATGAAATGGGTGAAGATGCCCTAACTTATTCTGTTGTGATTTCCAAGCGTAGGTGTGCCAAGGAAAGCGCTTGCTGGATTCGTGTTGAACCTGGTGGATTTTTGTGCTCTGAGAATAGACAGAGAAGGGCCCTGCTGGGCGCTTCCGTCCTYCGCGCTATAAATGTGCGAGGGCAGGAAGGTGGTTTGCGCGTGGGCGTCTGATGCTTTGGCCATCCCTGTGCAGTGTATCATTGCTAGAGASCCAGATAACAGAAACGTGCAGAGGAGCCTGCAAGTTCTTTGGATGAAGCTCCCACTTTGCTTAACGGTCAGAGCTCAGGGAGTCCCCGCACCCATGCGGTTTTGGTGTCGTGGGTGCAATCCATGGGTGCCCGTTTGTGGACCCTCACGRTGGATTTTGTGTCCAGAACAACCCCTTTCCACACGCAGTTTGCTCTGCGCTTGGCAGTTTGGCATGTGCACGCGAAAGCGAGAATGCATCGAGTCTATTTTAGCTGGGAGGACAGAAATTCTTTCCTTGCCTGACCTGGATCCCAGGGGCTATAAATACTTCCCTTCCTGTTATTCCCTTATCTTTCCTCTGAGTGCTACCGAGCAAAGGGGGGCTGTCGCTAAGCCCCTGTGACACYGTGACGACAGGTTATCGCTCACACGCGACATCTCTTTCTCCCTGGGGAAATAAATAAATAAAAGCAAGAGAAGGAGAAAAGCCGAGCCCTGCTCTCTGCTCCATGCCCTGGTCTGGTGGCATGCGGAGGTGCAGGGACTTTGTGCAGTCTCTCCGCTGAAATGGAATTACTTGGGAGCATCCAGGGATGACCRCGCTGCCGTGCTGGCTTCCCGGGGACTGGGATCGCGTGTGCGGATTTGGGCTGCTCCTTGGAGAGCAGTGGAGCACGTGCTGGATCCCGGCGGTGMCGGAGCGGGTGTCCTGCGTTGGGAGACGGCGCGTGAGGAGCCRAGCTGGCGAGGGCCGAGCATGAAGGGCCGTGGGGTGGGCGATGCCCACGGGAGCGAGCTCGTGGAGCAAGAGGTAAGGATATTCCAGGTAGATTTGAAGGGAAAACAAGCATGAAGAAGGCGCTATTTCCAGTGCCTTCTCTGTGATCCCGGTATAAGTCATGAAGCTGCCATGGGAATTGAGTCTGTTGTTGTTTCTGCCAAGAAATACTGGCAGAATGTTCGGTGTCCGTAAATGGGTGTCTCCAAATCGGGAATAGGAAATAGGAAGGGATGCTTAGAAGATAAGTGTATCCCTAATGATTGCTTGGTAAGGCTACGTTCCTGCTTATTAAGGAGGACCACGTGGTGCTGCTCCCAAGTGCAGATGTCCTGGAAAGCRTCTGCTGTCCACACTGCTGCGTCGGAAGGTAGCTGAGGATTAAAGAGGCACCTTGCAGAAAACCAAGCCTGAAATGCAAAGGGAGATAAATGGTGGGCTGAGGGTGTTTGCAGATCTGTGTGGTGGTGCTTGGAGGTGCTTGTTTGGGAGGACAACCCCGGACGGGATTTTGGAGGTAGCCAGTGGAACAGGGAAGCGGTGACCGCCAGCCACGGAGGGCTCAACCTGTCCTGTCCCCATGGGCATGGGGACTTGCTTGGYGTCAGGAACAACCACATGTAGGGTTTGGAGCTTAACCTGCCTGCTCTGCTTGTGCCCGCAGTGCGCCGGGGAGGAGAAGCGAGTGGGCACGCGCACCGTGGTGGTTGGGCACCGGCCGGTCTCGGAAGCGGACGCCTACGTGGCACAGAAGTTCTGCGACAACAGGATCGTCTCATCCAAGGTGAGCGTGACCTCGGTGCGGCTGGCAACGCCTACCCACCCTGTGCACAGGCTCCTGTGCAAGCACTCTGGCCTCACCTTCTTGTAAATTATGTTTTTTTATTAATATTTTTTATTGCAAGTCCCTCCTCAAGTAATTAGAGCCTTCCTTTGCAATGCAAGTGAGAGCCCTTGGAGTGACCGTGCAGCTGCAGCCCCTTGCCCCGGTGCCTGGAAGGAGCCAGATGCTGCAAAGTGCTCCCTGAGGGCACACGAGTGATGCGCAGGCATCAGCCCCAGGGTGCTGAAACCCCTGCAGCCCCTGAGGGCCTGGATTCACATCCATGCCATGCAACCCAAAGCGTATCCCTCAACAATACTGCAGTTTTCCTGTTCACTTTTTCCCCTCCACTCATTCCCATGAGGATGTGCAGGGGTTTCTCCGTGTGGGAGGATTGCCAAGCACGTGGCGATGCTGTTCTTGAGGCTTTCTGGAATTCCCCTGTGAAAAAAGGCAAGGTTAAGTATAATGGAGCATATGATATGACAGCAGCTAAGATTTGGGAGAGGAAGTGGGGATTATTGTATAAATTGACAGATAAATGTCGTTCTACTATTCTTGTTCAGTGCTTTTTTCCCTTTCCTTGAATTAGGACAAAAATAACATTCTGTTTATCCTTTTGGATGAGAAGGAAAATGTTCGTATTGTGTGGGAAAACTTGTCTGATGACACCTGCCTGCTTTTTGTTTGGCTCTTTCCTTGACATTTGTGAAGCTATTTCAAAAGACATGGGAAAAAAAAATGAAGTAAAGCATCAAACAAGTGGCATCAAGTGGCGGCAGCACAGCTGGATACGTGTTGCATTGCTGGTGGCTCGTGATGCTCAGCATACAGTGAGGCCTCAGTTCTACTAGCGGTACAAATAAAAAAAATACAAATACAAAAAAAAATATTTTAAAACTTGTCCCTATATTGAGGGCATTTTTTCAGGGAAAGTTTTAAATCTAAACACTTTTGAACTTTGTAGCATTCCCACTGCTTTCCCTGGCATGCAAGTTGCCTCCTTCAGAGAACAGCTTCCTGTGGCTTGGTTTGCTTTAGCACTAATTTTATCAGTCGTCCTTGATTATTTCTGAGTGTTGTGTTCTTGTTCTTTTGTGTCCATTTTATATTTGCTAAGCATGAGGTTTTCCTACCCGCCCAGTCTTTTTRAAAACATTTTTCTTGAGTATTTGCAATTCATTATCCTTTCTTGGAAGAAGCCCATATTAGACCTGTTATTTTCCACGTTGATTTTAAATTCCCTTTAATGTAGGTTACCTCTTCGTTAGCTCATGCTTCTCCAAATGTCTATCTAGAGGCTAATTGCTGAAACAAATCCAGTTGTTTTTATCTCTGTTATCCTTCCTCGTTTCCAACTGTTTTACCTGGCTACTTTGACAAAATAAGAGATTTGGTGACTTTTTTTTGGCCTGCTCCCCAGCAGTTCTGTGAACCAGTGGAGACACACAAAGTTGGAAGGGTCTTGTTGGAAGACCAGATAGGAGGTGGGTTGCCTCTTAGCATGGAGGTGCATCATGCTGGAGTTTTAAGAGGTGCATCTTCCAGGAAGGCCAAGGAATTTCTACTTGAGTAGACTGTGACATCCTGTGAAGCCCATTTCCCTGGCCCTCTGGCATACATGTGTCACAGCAACAGATGGTTAAAACACTGAGACACCATTTTAAATAATTTGCCTGGCAAAACCATGGGTGTGTGGCCCTTCCTGGCCTGGTCTGTATGAGTCTGCTGCTCTTCATGGACACCCATTAAGCAAAAATGCCAGGAAATCACTCCAGGAGGCCCTGTCATGGTGATAGGGACCTGGCCACCACGGATTCCACCTCTGGCAGCAACTGCAGTGAAATCAGAATAGGGATTCATTTACCAGGTAGAATAGATCGACATATTTTAGGTTGAAAAGTCATTCCCTGTTTTGCACGGATCTGGAGATATAGCCCATGGTGAGTTCTCTGTCCTGATCTGTTCATATTCGTGTGTGGAAAGCTGAAAGTTGTCCTGTTTCTCTTCCTCCCACAGTACACGATCTGGAACTTCCTTCCGAAAAACCTCTTTGAACAGTTCAGAAGAATTGCCAACTTCTACTTCCTCATCATCTTCCTTGTGCAAGTAAGAGGGTTTTACCTTGAGCTTTTTTCTTGATTGTTTAAATGCAGATTTTAAGCACAACTTGAAAGCCAGTGGATATTTAAAGCTGACTCTCTGAGTGCTTGTAAGCATCATTTGCTTTTTATTGGAAGATCTGTTACACCTTGAATTGCATGCTAGAATTGTAATAATAATTAAAATATTTAGACCTGAGACCACGTTCAAATACCTGCTGAAACTACTTGAAAGCCCCCTTACCTCTTAAGCACTGTTAGGCCTGGTGAAGCAGTGGAAATAAGTGTATATAGAGTGCAGCAGAGTTCAGAGCAGGCTTGAGCTGCTTTATTGCCTCTATAAAATGACTTGTGTTTTTCTGACTGAATGATGTGTGCTCRGCCTTAGTTGTAGTAAGTGTCAAGGCAAGCAGGACAGACAGGTTGTCTGCAGTGAAACTCAGGTGAGCTCTAGGAGGGCAGAGGTTCTGGAATGAAATTGCTGTATATCAAGTTTGCTAAATGTCTTCTGCTCTGCTTTGTGTCATGGGATAAAGACAAATCCTGAGCAAACCCAAATACTCRTGTTTCTGTCCTGTCAACTGAAAGAAAAGCGGGCTGTCCAAATGTATTTGGGGGAAGGGATTGGAAGGAAGCTTGGGAGAATCACCCGGGGATTCTCTGGCCTTTGCTGACTCGTCATTTTGTTGTAGCCTGCCTGTTTCAGACATGAGTGCCTGCAAGTTTTTGCCCTTAATGTAAAGGATTAGGGTTTATGACTGCTCCAGAGGCTGCTGCAGAAAGAGGTGATCCCAGCCTAACTGCTGAGGATGGCTCCTAACGGCAGCATTATGTGAAAGGCCAGTGTCCCCGAGCAGCAGCTGGCTGCCATCCATGGCTTGATTCTGCTGGCCCTGTTCCACCTTGTCAGGATGCATTTGTAATTTGCCTCGTACCGAGGCAATGCCCTGGAGTTGGGATGTCCCTTTTGTGCAGCTGGTTCTGCAGTGACGTGGTACTACAGGAGCTCCACTGATGCTCAGAACAAGGAATATTCTGTGCCATGCTTGAGCATCTCCTTGAGGTCCAAACTGGCTGCTACCCATTTTGGTCATGGGCTTACACAGATGAGCACAGAGCCGTGTCTTTTCTCATTTCTGTTTTGTGGGCCATGGTCACCTCTATTATAAGGAAGCAACACACGTGTCCCACTAGAGACAAAACCCAAAAGCCACCAACAAAGCTGGTGGCACTAACACAGTTGCTGTCCCACAGAGTAACGGGCAGCTGCCAGGCACTCCTACTTCCCCAGCTGCTGGAGACTTCACTTATCTTGAAGCATTCAAAATAATTTCATTAACTTAAAATATCTAGGGCTTAGCTTGATAAATGTCATCTCTAGCTCAATGTTGGTGCTTATCCTATAATTACCTTAATAGAATTACCCTAAGTGCTTCATTGCAAGTCACATATCAGAGCACTTGGTGGCTGGTCTCTGTATGTGGAGGTTCTTAAGGAAGCTGCAAGATCCACCCAGCACCATGTGGTGAGGTTGCTCTGCCTGCCCCATAGCCCATAGTCAAACTCCATGCATTAAACATAAGCTACCAAGTAGTAGACTGACAGGGGTATGAGTAACTGATTCATTGCAACACTTAAAAGGTAACTGTGAATATTTTTTTCTGGGGAAAAAAGAATGCTTTGAATAATGTAGTTGATCTTTGTTGTTGGACAGACCAATTTGACAGCGATAAGCTCATGCAGGAGGTGCCAAAAATGGAAAAACGTTACTTTTGGTTGGAAACGATGGTTTCTGGACTAGGGCTTTAGTTTTGTAAACAGTGAATTAGGAGGAAACTTAATAACRGAAGGGTTTGCCACTTTTAAGTGCGTCCAAATTAAGCTGTTAAAGCCCTAAAATATCTCAAAAATAACTTCAAAAGAGTCTTTGTTCTGAGGTGTTTTTCATGGGAGAGGGAGAGAAGACCAGYCTTGAGCTGTGGGATGTGAAGGGAGTACAGCAGTAATCTCCAAGTATGTAGAGAAGTTAYTATGTTTGCAATATCTACTACTGTMGCTATAACAGCATTTGTATGGAGCAAAATCAAACTGCTTGCCTGAATAAATGTATATTCACAGCTGGATCTCGTCCAATGCRGAGAACAGCCCTGTTGCACAGCTGTGGGAGTGCCAGCAAGCGTRGTGTGAATCTCTGCTCTCTTGCTCGCCTTTCTTCGTTAAAAGCAAAAATTGCTGCTGTATTTCGATGATCTGTCCTATTTTACAAGATGAATTTTGGTTGACTGAGCTATGCTTCAGTTTTGGCTTTAATATGTGGCCATCTGGGCATAACGTGCTTTGTGTGGTGTCTCCATACAACACAGTAAATAAGAGTTTCTGCTCCTGGAAATCTTTGTTTTTTTTTTTCTCTTTGTTTACCCTTGCCCTAAACTATCACTTACCTGGCTACTTTTGAGGTGTTTCTGTTCACCTCTTGATGCCTTTTGAATCCCTTCTCTGGGTCCAAAGGTACCAGGCAAAATTACAAAAAAAAAAAAAGCGCTATTTCAAAGAGTTAAAAATTTCCAAGTGGCTTCCTCMCAGCAGATGAGAACAGCTTTGTGCTTTTTACAGAGGGCCTAAAACAATAAATACAGATTCTGTTGTTTTGTGAGCGTGCCAGCAAAACACAAATAAGTGGAGCAAGACAAAGCAGCTTTGTGGGAACACAGAGCAGCTCTGGTGAGCATCCCTGCCTCTGCAGCCCTCCACATCTGCTGCCCCGTCCCTGCAGCTGGCAAGGGATGGCAGGAGGAAAACCAGGCAGTTTCCCTGTGCCTCTTTGGAAGTGCACCCGAGGTTTCCCCYGGGGGCTCGGGACCTGCTTGGGTCTCCTTTGGGTGGTTGGAGGCATCGCTGGAGGTGGTGGGAATCCGTCAAACACGTCTGTGTTCCAGCAGAGACCTTGGAGGGGCCAACCACTATACTCTCAAAAGAGCCATTTCCACACACGTTTGCCAGGGCATTTATTTCTGCTACCTGAGAACAGGTTGTCACCATTTTTATTTGTTTAATTTCTCTGCAGGTCATAGTGGACACCCCAACCAGTCCGGTGACCAGTGGGCTTCCCCTCTTCTTCGTGATCACTGTCACAGCCATCAAGCAGGTAAGACCATCCTTTGCAGGMGGAAACTTGCTTCCTGCAGGAAGGTTTCTGTGCTCTTGTGGCAACTGGAAAGGACAGGCTCCATCCAAACATCTAGATAGCCCTAAAAGTACCTAGTCCTCCTCTTGCTGTGATGGAAGACCTGTCTCCGTATGCCCATGTGGCACTTAGAATTTCTTCTGCAGAAGTATTAAATAATAAAACAAGTTTCTTCTGCAGGGGCCAGAAGAGGAGAGCTAGAACAAAATCCATCTGCTCTAAATATGAATGTTTTATTCTTTTAGTGAAGACTAAAAAGTCTTGTCCTCCTTTACCTTGGAAGCGAGTAACAGGGCACTAAGCATATTATTTATATAAGCCCATTCTTGCCAGCACTGAGAATAACAAAAGCGTGCTGCAGTAATTTAGCTGCTCATTGCATGCAATGCATATATAGATTATTTTGGTGCGTGTTATTTTAATCTGCTCTGAATCTGTCAAATATGAACATGATTTTTTTTAAATAAATCAATTCAGTCTGAGCTATCTCGTTGATGTTTTGTCAGGCATGAAGGAGTTCTGAGGACTGTTTAATTTATTCCTTTTTCTTTTCTCCCTTTCTCTCCATCCCCACTCATTTCAGTAGTTTACTTGCTTTGTTATGAGGTTGTGTTGCCTGTATTTGTGTGCCTAGGGATATGAGGACTGGCTGAGGCACAGAGCTGACAACGAAGTAAACAAAAGCAACGTCTTCATCATTGAAAAAGCAAAGCAAGTGCAGAAAGAGAGTGAAAAAATCAAGGTAACTTTTTAAAATGGAGAGGTTGGCTGTAGTTATCTCTGAAACCAATGGGAAAATTAGGACATAGGGYGTTGGGAGTTTTTTTTTCTTTTTCTCCCTCTAAATTGAGTACAGTTGGGTGCTAGGATGCCCAAAGGCAGTTGAGGAGGTGGTGGGTGTCCCCACATAAGGGGGTCCTGCACCTGCATCAGCTCGGGTGTATTGCTGCGTTGCAGCAGCCTCCTGCCCTTGCCCGAGCTGCTCCGAGACCTGTCCTGGTCGGTGGCCAGAGCTTCCCCCGTGCGGGAGCCTTGGAGAGGCCTTCTTGCAGCAGCCTCGCCGGGCTGACAAATGACAGACCTGTCATCGTTTGCAGCTATCTGGGACAGGCAGTTCTTTTCTATTTCCAACTCTCCCAAGGACACAAAAAAAGTACGCCAGCTTTGACGTTCATTTGTCACTCCAGGCTGGTGCAGGGTCTCCCGCTTCAGCGGGGTTTTGCAGAGGAAGAAACACCCAGTGCAGCACGTGGTCCCTCCTAACTGAGCCTGATGGGCTCCCTGTGGTGCTGGGGACCCATGCCACGTGTCTACCAAGCAGCCCCTCTCGCCAGAGGGAGAGAACCAGCTCTGTTTGCAGAGACAGATGTTTGCAGAAGAGGCTGTCCCAGCTACAAAATGAGCTTAAACCTTTGCTTTGCTTGTTGTGGCTGTAGCGCTTTCCCCATCCTAGCAGGGAGGCTTTCCAAGCTAGAGAAAAACACATGGGAGATGCAAAGAAGTCCCATCTTTAGGGAAATAGAAGGGAGAAAACCTGAAACTCCCCTGGTTCAGCRACTAGTGAAAATTAGCTAGGGCAACAGCTAGAGTTGGGCTTTATGAAGTGGTTCATTTGAACGTTTCTTTCCTTCCAGGTTGGAGACATAGTGGAGGTGAATGCGGAYGAGACCTTCCCCTGTGACTTGATATTTTTGGCCTCAAGTAGCGTTGATGGGACCTGCTACGTCACTACAGCCAGCCTTGATGGCGAGTCGAATTTCAAGGTGACGAGGAGGGATGTGCCGCGTTCCGGAGCCGCTGCTCTTGCTGTGCAGATGCCTTTGGTTGCGGCTGCAGTCAATGCTTGTGCAGTGCGTGTGTCTGTTTGATTAATTGGAGGATGCTCCCCCGGCACCAATCCTCATGGTGACTTGGCTATATTTAACATCTGTTCCCTACGTTGGCTCATCCAGTGAGTCAGCACCAAAGTGTTCTGTGGGCTGTTTCTTTTCTTTCTTCTTCTATTTTTCTTTTTTCTTTTTTCTTCTTTCTTTTTTTTCTTTTTCTTTTTCTTTTTTCTTTTTCTTTTTTTTGCCTGTTTTCTCTTTTGTCTCTTTTCCTTTTTTCTTTTGTGTGTGTTTAAGTGGCCGTTTCTCCTGGCGTTCTCGTGGATGCAGCTTCCCTGCTGTACTGCCTGTCCCCAGCAGCAGGGAGCTGCTTCCCATTTGGTGCCCTGTGTCCTGAGGTCTGGTGCATAGGCAAAACAGGGAGTGTAGCTACTTAAACTTCCAGCTCCTGTTTCTAATACTTGTCACTTTTTTTAGTGAAATTCAAGACTTCTTAAGACTCTGTCTTTGGGTTCATTTATGAATTTCTTTTTCCCCTTATCGAAGGGAAGAGAAAATCCCTGTGTGTTTTTATTTTGTTCTTTTTACTCTGCAGGAGTAAGTCTTTTCTCCTCCCTAATTTCTGGGTCAAGGAATGAGATTTGATGTTTGTCCTGCTCGGGATAAATCTCTTCCGTTCATCTCTTTATGCTTCCCACCTCTCCAAACTAGGGAATAATGACATAAAAAGTCAATATGTCAGAAGACATGAAAATTTGTTTGAGCTTGTATTTGATAAATATTTTGACAGATGTTGGCAACTGCAGTAGAAAAAAAATGGAAATTATTTTAAAAGTAAACGATTATTTCCAGCACCCTGAAGTTGGTGGGAAAACCCTCGCTGATCTCAGGAATTGTAAGGAGTCTTTTTATGGGTGGCTGTTAATTGATGCTAAACATCCCATGAAGGAGCTGATGTTGTATTCATGTATTATGCTAGGATCACTAGCAAAGAGGAAAGGAGCTTTGAAGCTGCTTGTGGCCAAAAACAGATAACCATATTAATTAGGCAGTCATTAACATCAGGTATGCTGCATACATGAGTTAATATAACTTTGGAAACCTTAGCTCTTACTAACTTTTGGGTCTAAGTGAAGAGCTAAATTTCTTTTCCAAGCAGTGTGTGCATGTGTCTTTATATAGCGATTTTTTTTTCTTGGTTTATGAATTCTTGTAGATGATTGGGAGCTGTCTGCTCTTTCTTAAGACGAAAATGGAAAATGAAAGTTTGAAGAGAGTGGGGTAGGGGAAGGATAGAGCAGTTATTTGAGGACATAGATCTGACGTGGGGAATGAGGCTTTCCACAAGCTTGGAATGAGAGAAACGTGCTCACGTGCTCCCCAAACCTGGTGTACACAGAGGCTSACTGCCTACCTGATGGATGCATTTCTGGATGCATTGTTTTTTGTCAGATCGTGCTTATGGGGCAAGATTCCTATCTGCAGGAAGCAGAGGCAGAATTACGCAGTGGATTTTGGCGGGGCTCTGCCTTTCAAAGCAGGAACCCTTSGTCATATGTTGGGTAAAAGGAGATGCATTTGCTAAATAAGCCAAAGGAGGGCTTGCAGGTACCTTTTGGTGCTTTCAGTRGTGATGGTTGCAAGGGGCTGTGGATGAGAACCTTAAAGCCCAATTCACTATTGGGCTGTGTAGGAGCAGCTCTGAGTTGTACTTCACAAAAGCGATGAATTGCAGCAGAATTGCCCGCTTGTGTGTGCTTTTAATATGAAAACATGGGCAGGACACCAGGAGCGTGCTAAGGTGGGCATTAATAACCTTGTGCAATGCCCGGTTCCTCCCGGGGGCACCGTGGGAGGAACACGGACATTATGGCCTGAGGAGGCTTTGTGATGAGTGTGTTCACGAGGATGGATGGAGGCAGCCTGCGTGCGACGTGGAGCTTCGAGCAGCTCCTATAAATAGCGGTGGGGAGGCGGCGAGCGGCTCCTTCGTGGGATTTCCAATTAATCGGGAGAGCTGAACCTCTGCTATAAATAGCCAGAGGCACCGGTGCTCCGCCGGCTCCGGAGCTGCCTGCTGGTTCCTGCCAGGCCCTGCCATGGGGAAACCCAGTTTGCTCTGTCCTTAGCTGCCGAGCAGGTCCCCGGGGCTCCCTGCCGTGCGCTAACCCAGCGCGTGTGGCCGTTCCTGGACATGGTGGGACACACGAGCTGACGGTCACCTCTGCTCTCTCCGCCAGACTCACTACGCGGTGCGGGACACGGCCGTGCTCTGCACGGATGAAGCCATAGACACCCTCACTGCCACCATCGAGTGCGAGCAGCCGCAGCCGGACCTCTACAAGTGAGTGCCCAAGTGTGAGATGTTTCTGGAGGTGGTGCTAAGCCTCCTTCCTCGCCATGGCAATACCGAGGCTGGCGTCTTCAGGACTCGGTCTCATAGCGAAGCATCTCCAGCGAGATGCCTGGCATGGTGTGATGAGTTATTTTCATAGCTAAGCTGGTAGCAATGCTCCACGTGCCTACTCGTGGGCAAGTGTGTGTGCACAAAGTGCRTTGGCCTGAACCTGCTTTGGGGGGATAAGGAGAAAGCAAGGTGCTTTAGAGGAATGCATGTGTGCATCGGCTGTGCTCCCCTGGGAATGTAATGGGGAGAGCTCTGTCCATCCTGCATCCAGGCTCCCCTCTGAAGTGGGAGGCTCTGGAGCGTATTGATCTGTATGTTGTTTCCCGTCTCTTGATATTGAACATTCCTGTGGGCACTCTTTATAATATTAACACGTGTTTCTAATTTGGGTTTCTTTTGTTGCAGGTTTGTTGGAAGAATTATTATCTACAGAAGCAATCAGGAGCCTGTGGCCAGGTTAGTCCTGTGGCTGTTTTGTGGCCCTGCTCAAAGACATTGGGAATCTGTATCAAAGTTCAAAATTCCCAGTTTGTTACTGCGTTGGGCATCTGTATCAAAGTTCCAAGGTCTGAAGTTGTTACCATCTCTAGCRAATGTTCATTTTCTTTAACTGCTCCAAATACTTTGTTTCTTAAAGGAGGCCTATAACTTATCTCTCCACTGACTCTATTCTGGCACTCAGTGAATCATTTGTACCTCTTTTGGAGGTTTGGGAAGGTTTTGGTAACTTGAGTGGTAGCTGTAGATTGTCTCCCAAGTCTCAGCTACTGGATGCTAGAGCTTCTGAGAAATGACCCAGGACACCATGGGTGTGAGGTGGGTTTAGAGGTCTGAGGGCTCACGTGGTGTAATAACACATGTAATAAAACATGTGTTTCCCCTTGTTCTCACTTTATCGTGCGTAGCAGTGTTGTCAGGGCAAGAAAAATAGGAACGGTCCCAGTACTGTGAAGAACCTAGGCTGGAGGGCAGCCCTGGTCCTCATGAGGTCAGTTCTGAGTAATTTGGTGGGGATCAAATTCGTCAGGTCTTCACAAGGAGCTGTTCCTCCAGGGAAGGCAGGAGTGCAGCAAGCCGGGGTTTCAGGCAGAATAGGCAAGGACATCTTCAAAGCCAGATGGACCATTCCTGTCCTTGGTGTGGTGCCTGTCATGCTTCGTGCTGTGGCAGATTTACCAGCAGATCTTTGGGATTGCGAGATGGACGGTTCCCTGTAAAGCTGCTGGCGATGGAACAGCAAGCACAGGTCTAGATATTTGTGGTGGGAAAATTTAGTACCCGATCGGGTGAAGAATAGCAGCAACAGAGGGTCACGGGTGGGATTTTCAAAGAGAAAACATGAATGGAGCAGGGGGAAAAAGAATAAGTTATCTCCTGGTGCCTGTGTGCAAAATGAGAGATATCAGCACTCTTGTAATGAAGGCTTTATGTAATTGCTAGAATATATTATTAGATGTGAATATCTGCACTTATTCTTAAAATCCTTACCTGAAATCCACCGCTAGATCTAGAGTTTTGTACACCAAGAACAGTCTGTRTAAGACCAAATAGATAAGAAAGTAGGTAAAAGGTGAAATGGGSAAAGCCAAACAGTTCCTAATTCAATATACAAATCAAATAACCAGAACTTAAGAACCTCTGTTCAGATTTTTAAGTTATCTCTGAGTTTGAATTATAAAGAAATTTTGAATGTGTAATGTTATTTCTTTGATAATTAGATCTTTGGGTCCTGAAAACCTGCTGCTGAAAGGTGCTACCCTCAAAAATACCAAGAAGATTTACGGTGAACATTTTTTTATTTATTTTTATTTAAATAGTTCCAATGAGCAAAGTTAGCAGATAGAGGTAGATGTTCAGCCCTAAATCTTGGGAGGGGAAAATGCTCATTTACAGCCTGTCTGCCAGCACTCRAGAGTCACATTCTTATGCAAGTTGCCTGCAAAGTTTTGAGGGTGAGATTTGGAGGTGCTGGTCATGCCTGCAATGCTGCTAAGCCATGTAGGCTGGGTTTAATACACCTAGGCAAGCTTTTCCCTTCCTGCCCGATATGTGAAGAATAGGGATTTTTTTCCCCAAATGCTTTGCTGCTAACTGGTACTTTTACCTTGGTTGTGAAGGTTTGTCATCTAGGATGCAGGCTGAGGTGGAAGGCTAACCCTTCTTCTAGCTGTGTGTGGTTCCTGGGCTCCTGAGCAATGCCCAGGGACACATRCAATTAATATTAGCAGCTGCTGCGGCTTCTGTAGCTGAGCAGCCCTTAGGTAATTCCTTTTTCTCGAACCGGGAATCGAGTTGCATGTAAACACTGATGCCCCTTATGGCTAAGGGAGTGCTCAGCTCCCTCCTGGGTTGCAAGTCTCTTATGAGCTCTGCTTTAATATTCTCTAGGAGTTGCAGTCTATACTGGAATGGAAACGAAAATGGCTTTGAACTACCAAGGGAAATCTCAGAAACGCTCTGCTGTAGAAAAGTGAGTATTTTTAGTAGGGGAAAAAAAACAGTAAAAGCTGTTGTGTTTTTGTGGATGATTTGTACAGAAATAATCCCCTAATCTGCTGCCTTTTGTTTCAGATGCTCTCTGATTGCATAGAAAATCTGTGTATTTGATTAAGCATATCTTTCAAGAAGCTGCATCATTTAGCAGTTTTTCTTTATTAAAAAAAACACTAAGAAAGGTTAAAATATATGAACTGACCCTGAATATCAGCACTGTCAAAAGCAGTTGTTCTGTAATTCCCTTCTTAAAAGTAAGAAAGTTTCGTTCCTGCTTATTTGCACAATTTTCTATTAAAAACAGCTGCAAGAATTTTAAAGAGAAACCTATTTTTCAGATCTATCAACGCTTTCTTGATAGTGTATTTATGCATCCTGCTGAGCAAAGCCACAGTGTGCACAACACTGAAATATGTCTGGCAGAGTAATCCGTTTAATGATGAGCCTTGGTACAATGAAAAGACGAAGAAAGAGAGGGAGACGTTCAAGGTAAGTGGATTTGTATTCCAGCCCCTCCTTCAGCTTTATTTATTCTGACAGTTTTATTGAATCTGATAACGCAGGCTGCCAGCCCTGTGGTTCCTGCTTGCTCCTTGGAAGTGCTGTTGTTTGCTCGAGTGTCTCCTGCTTGCGTTTTGCYCCGATCTCGGTCTCTGCCTCCCTGACTCCTCCTTTTGCACAAGGCTGGTTGCATGGAGTGGGGCAGAGCAAAGTTCTCTGCCTGCTCAGGAGCCCCAGCTGCCCTGGAGAGAAGGGAACGCTTGCCAGTTACTGACAGCAGGCAGAGCATCGTTTGCACCACGCAGGAATATTATATAAATGCAGAGGCTGATTTAGCCTGAATCCTTATCTGAACTTGAGCTACCTTTCAGCTTTGAGGAGATAAACTTGAATTGAGGCCGTGTCAGCTTGGCTTTTAGACTTGTGGAGACACAGGTGGGCAAGCCCAGAAGAGTGAATGTGTGTGTTTGTGTGTGTGGAGCGGGTGCTTGATTTGGTTGGTTATTGAGGAGGATTTTCAGACTTACATTTAACCCTAGCTAAAAAAAGCTGTCTAAACTTGGAGGTGTTGCTGTAAACTAAGTCTGTTCTTGAGTTTGTTTGATGGGCATAGATGGCATCTTCCTCTCTTCTTTCCATTGCAGGTTTTGAGGATGTTCACAGACTTCTTGTCGTTCATGGTCCTGTTCAATTTTATTATCCCTGTCTCCATGTACGTTACCGTAGAGATGCAGAAGTTCTTGGGCTCCTTCTTCATCTCGTGGGATAAGGAGATGTACGACGAAGAAATAAAAGAAGGCGCGCTGGTGAACACCTCTGACCTCAATGAGGAGCTCGGGCAGGTCAGGATATACCCTGGCTGTATCTGCTTGAACTAACATTGGGTGGGCTGGTGGTAGGGCCTCCAGGCTACGAAGGGGAGGCAGAAGGGTGTATTTTTGAAAGCAGCATGAACACCATGCCAATCCACTGCTCTGTGCTCGCTGTGGTGGACAGCACGTGTCTCATTGCCACAGGAGGCAGCAGCACCGTGGTGTTTGTCACTTTGGGTGACTTTCTCTGCGTCTGTAGACTTGGATGCCTGTGCTCTCTCCTGCTCCCCACCTCCCTTCAACATGTTCTGCTGAAAACCTGAAAACACAAGTATAAAAATCTTTGGAGGGTTGACCTAAATTGAGTGCTGTGATACTGCTTTTGTACAGAGGAACCTGCAGAAGTGATTAACCATGGTGTCTCATCGTGATGCTGCTACTTTAACAAGAAAGCTTAAGCAGAAATTAAAAACCTTGCTATATTTAATTACAACTAAAGCAAATGAATTCTTGGTGTGGAGCAGGACAGGGAGAAAATTGATTGCTGCTTTTGTTTCAGTATGTGACTCTTGATAGCTCTGAAAAATAATTGAAGGCCAACCTAATGGTCTCCTTAAGAAGCCTTATTTTGCCACTCACTCATGGTCCTGTCAGGGCAGAACTTCAGCTGGTTTGGTGGCAGTTTCCATCTAATGTGATTCTACTCACTTTGCGAAATGGGTAAGGTTATAAATAGTGCATGAAAGAGCAGGAATTGGGTCAGGCGAATTGTTTCCATATTGGGGAATGTCAAGCACAGCACTCTGCATGTCAGGATGGTTTTGCTTTCACTGCTTCAATTATAAATAAAAATCCCSTATCTCTTTCAAGGATTAGTGAGAATAACGTCTGCCCGTTTGTCTCTCTGGGCCCGTGAAGCAAGTGCATCTGCTGGTCTAGCCAGAGCCCTTAGGTAGCTGCTAGCTCCTCTTTGCTTTTCCATGTTTTCCATGAGGAATGGTGCCTCCTGCACTTATTTTGCTGAGGTTGTTCAATTTGGAGGAATGCTTGCCTCATTTAAATACACCACCAAGATCAAAATCCCACAAAGGAGGCTGGTCAGCTGCAGTTGCAGCTCTGTAATGGTGAGAAGCTGTAGCAGAGTAACTAATAAGGATGAGGAATCAGGAAAGCTTAAGGGCCATGGGATGGATTTTAAGYCTCCAGGAGCTGCCTCTAGGTAGCTAAGAAATGGACTGGGAACAAGGGAGCTRCACTGAGGATAGAAGTTGAACTGGATGAAGATTTAGCTCTCTTGAGGCACGTACATCTTTTGTGGGGATAGGTTAGGAAAGTGGAAGAGGGTTCTTCATGATTAGCTCCAGCATACTAAAATGCCTCAGCCTTTCTTTTTTGGGGAGGCTGCTTCTGCAGCGTGGCTCTTGACCCAGCAGTGGAAGGTGGAAATGCAGTGGGGATTGCTGCCTGCTTGCTCCTAGGTGGAATACGTGTTCACCGACAAAACGGGAACCCTGACGGAGAACAGCATGGAGTTCATTGAGTGCTGCATAGATGGGCACAAGTACAAAGACTGCGTCTCAGAGGTCGATGGCTTCTCCCAGACTGATGGACCCCTAAAATACTATGGCAGAGCAGAGAAGGTAAGGAGTCTGGGTGGAAATAATCTGGGTTTTCTGTTGCAGAAAATCTAAGAAAACCTAAGAAACCTAAGAAAGCCTAAGACCAGCTCATAGGGTGGTCTTTGAAATCCTTGTCTGAAGAGTTAGTATTCTGAAAAACCCAAGTTATTTTTTGTCATCTTGATTATAGTTATTTTGAAAAATATACATACACAGAGGTCCTCACCAAGGGCTTTGAGGTGAGGCTCAATATGTGCTCTGAAGTTTGTAGTGAACCCTTGCTTTGATTCACCCAGTGTCGAGAAGAGCTGTTCCTGCGTGCCTTGTGCCTGTGCCACACTGTTCGCATCAAAGAGGGAGACCAGGTGGATGGGCTCATCGGACAGCCGGAGCACAAATGTACCTACATCTCTTCTTCCCCGGATGAAATTGCTTTGGTGAAGGGAGCAAAAAAGTAAGAATTTTTAAGATTATGTATTGTTTTCTTTGTTTTTTTTTTAATTGGGTGCTCACAAACTGAGTGTTGGAGTCTGAGTAAGCTTTTCCTTAAAAGTGTTATTCTACAAAGGGTCTTCACTGAGCAGCTTTTCGAGAAGCCTGGGTTGGCAGTCCCTGCTAAGGGGAGTCCCAAAGCACTGCAGTGCCTGAGATAGGAGGCGGGCTCATTTACTTCAGTCCCCACGGACACATKCTGTCCTAATGCCTGAGAAACAGACAGTATTTACTATGTGATCCATGTAAACCCTCGGTGAATACTGCACCARAATACATGAATTCTACACCCAAATTGCTTCCTTCGTATGCACAGTGGCAAAATAAGTGTGGGTTATCCTGCGAAATCCACATTTGAGTTCCTTTTGAGATGCTACTGCTGGTTTTTATTCTTTRTATCATGCTGTTGCAGCTATATACTTGCTTATGCCTCACGAGCCTCCTGGAGCAGGGAACCGAGTGCAGAGCATCTCAGTGCCTGTGCACCGCAGTGCCTGGCTCCCCTGCTCGTGGGAGCAAAGCCAGAGCATCGGAGCTGGCTCTGCATGGAGCGAGCACACATCCAGCAGAGCCCTTTGGCTCGGGCTTGATAACTTGTCTGCTCTCCTTTTGCAGTACGGAACGTGAAATGAAAGCGTTGCTACTAGAGAAAACCTGCCAATGGATGYTTTCAATGTTGTTCTGTCCTCTTGTTTATTGACAGGTATGGTTTCACTTTTCTAGGACTTGAAAATGACTTCATGAAAATACAAAACCAAAAGAACGAAACTGAAATGTAAGTGCTGCAGAAGCCTGGTAAGGGATATTGCTCCTCATAACTGAATGTTCTCAGCTCAGCAGTGGCTCCCACGTGGTTTAATTAAATTCAAGTCGTGTGRCAAACAAGACAGGGGCAAAGCTGTTCTGCAAGGCTTCTCAGACCAACTACTGACCTGCCCCAAAATTCGTTCTTTTTACAAACTGTAAGACAGCAAAGGCCAAAGGCTTACAAAAATCTTAGTCAATTCTAGTAAAAGCTAAATTCAGGTCCCATCAGTATCTGTCTGTCCAGATATAGCTCCATGGATTCATAGATTGGTCAACAACATTATGGACAGGGCTGATCTCCGAGCAGGATCCTCTGAGTGCCTGAAGTTGCTCACTTGTTCAAGCAGGCTTTTGCTGTAGCTTTTTCCCTCTYTTGAACTGAAAATCCAATCTTCTCCCCATGCTAACAACACCTACGATATATGCAAGCATGCACGCAGCTGCGAGTTCATTGCTGAAACTGGCTGCTCCCCTAGAACTTGCTGGCACCAGCAAGTTTCACTTCTCCCTCTAAGTTGAAATTTCCCGACCTAAGTGCAAGAGCTGATGGCAAGAGCTGATGTCACCACGTGCAACGTGTGGTGCCTGCCAGCTGCTGAGCTGTGCTTGGTGGCAGGCTCTGGGTGACATGGGGCAGCTCTGCAGCACAGGGTATCCCCAGAGGAGCGYGTGCAGCTCCGCACGCATCCCACAGTGGAAACAGAATTGAGGTTTGCAGCTTGCAAACGGGGGAATATTATGTAGGAGGACAGACCAGTGAGGTTGCATTGCACCAGCTGTTCAGTAGGTACATGTCTACATGCTCTTATTTTACAGTAAGAGCAATGGCGTTTTAGCCTTTGTCTGCTTTGCAGGGTGCCTTACCTCATTTTTGCTGCAACGAGGAGGGTGCYGGTGGACAGTCAGTGAAGTAAGCTGACTCACACTATATGCGAAGCTTTGTGCTTTATAGTAGTTCACTCCTGTTTCCATGTCCTCAGCCCTCTCTTCAGAGCAGCACTAGAGCTTTTCTGCTCCATTTCCCTCCTGAGCTCTCACTGCTGTCTTTGGAAGCTGTTCAGCTGCAGCCTATAAGTGAATTGCAGCAAAGATSTGTTCAGTAGCTTTAAAAGTACATTGCCAAGTGGGTACTGTCATCTGTAGTGTGTATAGATTTCTGCACATCATTGTGTGATTTTTTTTCAGTCTTAAATAGCTATTTTCCTTCTACCAAGTCTGAGCTCAGTCCTTTCTTGTTTTTTTTTCTGGAAGGTACCAGCTTCTCCACGTATTGAACTTTGATCCCRTCCGTCGTCGCATGAGCGTCATCGTGAGAACCACCACAGGTACAGTCGCACTCCCGTGGAGGTGTGTGTGCACACCCAGGTGCAGAGCTTGCTGTCCTGTACTCAACAGGCACAGTGCCACCCACTGCAACAGGGAGAAGCTGAGCTGAAGGTTTTCTAGATCTATCAAATTAACCTGGTAGGTGAAGGCTCTGACCCAGTGCAGGTTGTTAAAGGCAGCCAGTTAATACATGCTGGCTGACTCCAAGCATCCCAGGACATGCTGCCTGTGTCAGGTCCCAGGCTGTCCACTCAGGCCTTCCTCCTAGTCAGCTCCTCTTCCTCGCAGTCCCATCTTTTGTCTCTCTGCATTTAAACTGGCCAATTTCTGCCTCCTGCTGCTGTCAGATAAGGGACAGATGGAGACAGTGACCCTTAGAGGACACCCTGCCACATACCTGCCTGATGTAAAACCACAGGRCAGAACGGAGAGGATATCTGAGACTTTCCCCCGAGTGGGAATGGCAATAGCAAAATAATAATACAAAATAGAAAATAGCTGGAGGTAGCCACCATCTCAAATTTCAATCCCTCAAGGTAGGGAATGGTGTTGTTTTACCCTGCACCCTGCCAAAATTGCTAGGGCATTAACAGAGGGTTAAAAAGTAGATAACTTTTTTCCCCACTCCTTTTCAGGAAGCTTACTCAAAGGCAAATACTGACTTCYCAGATTTTAGCCCAAGACATGAAAATCGAACGGATTTTGGGCAGGTTAATACCAGGCATCTTTCAGAGTAGGCAGCCTTGCCTGGTGGTTCATTCTGCAGTCCTACCAGACTCTGCACCAATTGCTGGATATTGAAGCCAATATCTGTTAAGTATCTCTACAGATTTTGAATGCTATAAACTATTTATAACTTTGTTTTAGGAAAGTTGCTCCTCTTCTGTAAAGGAGCAGACTCTTCTATTTTTCCAAGGGTGCAACAAGAAGAAATCCAGCAAACTAAAGTCCACGTAGACCGCAATGCTATGGTAAGAACGTAGATGGAATTTGGCTGGCTCCTGGGGTCAGGAAAGCATTATTCCAAAAATAGGGATGTGACCTCGCTTCAGAGGAAAGTGTTGAAAATGTGAGTGCCACTTCTCATTGTTTTGAAGCCAGACATCTTTCCATTTTATGTCTTTGGCTTCCATATTTATTTGACTGTTGATATACTTATATGGTCTTGATCGCAGTTGTGTGCAAGCCTCTCCCAAGCAAGTTAAAAATRGAAGTAACAATCTCTTCTCTGGTGAGAGAGATCTTTCAATCATTTAATAGTTGCGTGTGAAGGTGGAAGGAGTGTTTGCCCAGGAGGGCTGTGGCAGCAATGGCTGGGCACTGTGTGGGCACTGGGTGTCCCATGCTTGGTCCATTCTGCCCCTTCTGGTGCCTGCTGTCTGCTCTGGTTCTCCTGTCTCTCATGTGGTGGCCATAGGGACATACAGAAACTTGCCTTTTGACTTAAGCCAACCAGTTGTCACTTCTGTCAGGGTCAATGCTGATGGAAAGCAATAGCAGCAAGGGAGAAACGCTAACACTGACATTGGGAACTGGGGAAAATGTGGAGTTTTTTGAGCACATTTTTTTTCTCCTGCTTCCTCCCGTAAGGATGGCTATCGAACACTGTGTGTGGCATTCAAAGAGCTAACTCAAAAGGAGTATGACAAAATTGACAGGCAGCTTAATGAAGCGAAAATGGCTCTGCAGGACAGAGAAGAAAAGATGGCAAAGGTTTTTGAAGACACAGAAGCCGACATGCACTTGATTGGGGCTACTGCTGTAGAAGACAGGTAAAGGGATGACCTGCACTGCRGAGGACACTGAAATGAAGCAGTAAGGCAGTCATTGCAATGTCCTGACATTGAAAACATCCAGGGTAATTACTCTGTGGCACAGCCCATTACTTAGCACCTAGTTGCTAAAATTGGATAGACAGGCAGGAATTAGGGTTTATTAATGGCATTACAGAAGTTGTTTTGTTTCTTGAAAGTGAATTAAGCATGCAGAGCAGACTTTTGCATATCAACACTAATTCAGTTTTATGCGCAGTTGTAGTAAGTGCATGTACAACTTGTGCAAATCAAAAGCAATAGCTTATTTGGAGTAAAAGGCAGTGATTTTGGCTAAGCTTAAAGATTTGGGATTGCTGAGTTCTAAGCCTCATTCCTGTCCTGTAAAATAGGTGTACGTTAGGATTTGTAAGTTTTAATGGCAGTGTTGGTTAAGGCTCTTAACCTGGGGCAGTGAGCTCGGGGATCAGTGCGTGAAGATGCTCRGGGGCTCCAAGCAAGTGCAGCTAGGGAAGTTTCTGCTTGTGATTTCAGGCTGCAGGAGGAGTCAGCAGAGACGATCGAAGCTCTGCACGCGGCTGGCATGAAGGTGTGGGTGCTGACGGGGGACAAGATGGAAACGGCCAAATCCACGTGCTACGCYTGCAGGCTCTTCCAGACCAGCACCGAGCTGCTGGAACTCACGGCACGGACCGTGGGCGAGGGTGAGAGGAAGGAGGATCGACTCCATGAGCTCCTCATGGAATATCACAAAAAGCTGATTCAAGATGCTCCCAAAAATCGGGGAGGCCTGAAGAGGTCAGTGATAAATTTGGATGTGTCTTTGGCTAATTGCATGGGATATAGGTGCAAGCTTGGTGGAGAAATGCCACCGTGTAGTAGCATGTGAGACTTGCTGCTTGCTCTGCTGCTGACACCCTTCTGTTGTACGTTATCTCTGATATTGTTTTGTTTTCAGCTTTATTTTATAATTCCCTTAGCAAGTCCCATGCCTTAAACCTTTTTTAAGGTGGCTAAGCCACAAAGAGGGATGGACAAAGAAATCTTAATGCAAAAGTAACTTCTTTTTCTGCAGAGCTGGCATRGATGGCTAGATTGACTTGTTGAAGTGTAATTTTTCATTTCTTTTTTTCTATTCCTTGTTGTGTCCTAGAAGCTGGACGTTCAGCCAGGAATATGGCTTGATTATCGATGGCTCAACGCTGTCACTAATACTCAATCCTTCTCAGGATTTCAGTTCTAGTAACTACAAAAACATATTTCTGCAAATCTGCTTGAAGTGCACTGCAGTCCTTTGCTGTCGGATGGCTCCTTTGCAGAAAGCACAGGTATGTCCTGTGGCTTCACCACTACTTGTGTGTAGTTAATCTTTCAGGAAATAAAGAGAATTTCTTTGTGGAAGCAGCTAATTATTCCACAGGAAGCCATGCAAATGGCATTTAGTAATATAAAATAGCAACTTAGTAATATAAAATGAAAGAGTGCAATTTAAGTTATCCAACTTGCATCATTTGCCGGTTTAAACTTCTAGATAGCAACAAACTTTCCCCAAGTGCTAGCCGAGTGTTCCTCCCCTTTCATTTGGGATGTGTTTTTAGAAAATAACCGCAGATTGTATCTAAAGGCTATTTCCATATAAGCATTTGAGGCTGTGTTTCCTGCAGCACTGCATTAAACAAAATTTATTCATCCTTGTCATCAGGGATGCCTCCGGGCTGTGTGCAAGTATTTTCCGAACCTCAGAGTGTGATGGAAACGCTCCAGTCTTTCAAAGGCTTGACACAAAACCTGTGCTAAATATGCTTGCAGGAAACCGCAAGCACAAGCCAATTAAACAAACAAGCAGTTTGTGCTTTGAATTCTTTTCTGTGTTTGGAAAGTGGAGTCCCTGACTTCCCTATGGCAGTTGATAGTATCAACAACCTGATAAACAGTGTGTTTAGCCCCTCTCCATGGTTATTATTTACTGCCACATGAAATGCATGAGAGGTCACATCTTTGTGGGAGAGCAGATTTGGCAGAAGGGAAGGGGAGGATACTGCTTTGACTTATTTTTCTAGTACTGTCTTTCTAGCCCTGTAAAGCTGGATTTTTGGCTTTTGCTGTAGTTGGTGACTAGGAAATAGCAGAGGTTTTTATTAATCTGAACTCGGCAGGCGTTATTTTGCCTGATTCCTTGATCAGAAATGCTCCCAAAGGTGGGGCATTAGGAGTCTCTGGAGCTTTTTTTACCAGGTCTTTGGCTTTGCCRATTTTCCTCTTTGAATTTATTTTTTCTTTTAGATTGTAAGAATGGTGAAGAACACAAAAGGGAGTCCGATAACACTATCCATAGGCGATGGGGCGAATGATGTCAGTATGATTTTGGAAGCGCATGTTGGAATAGGTAAGATTGCTGACAGTTCCTAATCCGATCTGTAAAACATGTCCCAGCTCCATTGACTTGGCASGACTTGGCTGTTGAGGCACAGGCAGGGCTTCTGACTGCAAATGGTTAAACCGAGCCCAGTGCAAAATGTGAGATGTCAGCTGTTGCCGTCATCAGAGCCAGAGTTTAGCCCCGAATAGATGCTTGGGCTCATGGTAGACTGCTGACCTTTACGATAGCAACGTGCTCTCTATCTGTGATAGAYGGCGTATTGTTTTCAAGAACTGTATGGCCAGATTCAATGTTTGTAAAGGTTGCTTTGCTGGTTAGAAAAAGGCACGCGTGGCGAACTGATGTATGGCAAGTGACAGTTGTTGTAAATGCARTGTGATTAAGATGACAGTTTTTTGATATGAATAACTTGTAGCAAGTAAATTTAAACGTATATAGATAGATCATGTCCGGTCTTGCATCTTCTGCCCTTTTTGTACCTCCTTTATAGCCACTGGTGAAATCAGTGGGGTTCTTCTGCTGTTCTCTGGAAACAGGATTGGCTCTAGTTTAACTGAAATACATAACTTCTCTCACCCTTTGCTGAGAATTTAATTTGGATTGTGGCTTTTGATCTTAACTGAGCTGAAATTGGCCCTTGTCTTTTGCCTGGATGTCTGTGAAGGCACCACAATGCTAATCACAGCTGCTGGTAATTCAGCACTGGGAAGCCAACCTATTTTCCAAAAGCTAATGCTCAATTCTGCTGGTTTTTCCCCATTTGTATGACTGACAATAGGATGGAAGCTGTTTAAGTTTGTACAGATTGCTGTCAGAGCTACTGGAAGCGCTAGAGATGCATATTGCTGTTGAAGAAGGGTGGTAGGACAACCTCTTTATTTCTGAAAGCATCGTATTATCCTCTAGCAAATAGGATTTTGTTGTAATTCAGGTGGATATGCTTACTGAGTGAACAAAACTGGCTTCCTTGATCTTGACTTTATGAGAAGGTATCTCTGGAGTCCTAGCACCTGGAATGAAATAGCTAGACTATGCAAGGCMCAGGCAAGCATGCGGGGAAGCCAGTTCCTTATCTTCCATCAGGCTTCCTTAGATCCTCTTCACCACTTCCTTAGATAGGAACTCAGTTAATAACTTAAATATAGGTTTAAAAAATCTGAATAGTGGTCTGATTGTCACAACCAGATCACTCAAATGCAGTTCCCAAGGCACCATAGGTGGGCATGCAAGGTGACCTATGCTTTGGTGACATTTAAGATGTCATGGGGTTGAAGACTTGGGGGAAAAACAGGACCTTTGAAATACTGATCTGAGTACTTTGAAAGCCTGACTGGAAGCAGTGAGGTCTGTGAACAAACCTAATGGGGAGCCTCAGTCAGAATCCAATTCCTTATGGATTGATCCCTTGTTGTGTTTCTGTCTCCAGGTATAAAAGGCAAAGAAGGACGCCAGGCTTCAAGAAATAGTGATTATGCTGTTCCAAAGTTCAAACACTTAAGAAAATTGCTACTAGCACATGGGCATTTATATTATGTGAGAATAGCACACCTTGTACAGTATTTCTTCTATAAGGTAAGGCTCTACGTTCATCTCGTTTCACTATTTACACTGTAAAAGAAAAATATAGTATTAAAGGACTGCTGTAGATCTCTATCTCATAGAGAGAGCATGTGTCTTTTGGTGGAAAATGATGCCTAGAGTGGAATGTGAATATATGACTGTCTTCTGTGATCTTCTGCAAGTACTAAAAGCTTATTGGGTTAGTTTTTTGCTTGGTAGGAAACACTACTTTAGAGGCGTTATAATGAGGAAAGTTATTTGAGTTTAGAATGAGCAGGCAAACATACGGTGGCTGTGTGGATCCTTCCCTCCTAACACTTGTCTTTTGTTTCTCCAGAACCTTTGCTTCATATTACCGCAATTTTTATACCAGTTCTTCTGTGGATTCTCACAGCAGGTAATTTCCAGCAACATGTCATAATAAGAGAGGATAAGTCAGAGTCAGTTGGCCTAGTAGAGGCCTGACTYTAGGCATTCTGTCTCTCTGCTACCTTTAGATGACAGCGGGAATTGATGCTGGTTGCCAAGCAACATGGTTAGAGCACAGTATTTTTAAAGCTTGTAACTGAAAGTAATTAAGTCAAACTTTCTGTCCGTTCCCTTCTAATCCTTCTTGTTTGTTGCTTGAACACAGATAGACACCTTCTAACACAAGGGTGTCTTAGTAGGCTTGTCAGCACCTAATTTTGCTGCCTTCACTTCTCCGAGAATCTTTTTCAAAAAGTCCTTGGTCTATCCTCATTTGTTGTATTTTCCAATTATGAAAACCATTAAATTAAGACACATCAGGAGGGGAATCAGATATTTAGCTTAGTACGGGTGAGCATTAGAAGATCTATTTCAGATAAATTTCATGAAGTGTTTCGAGGCGAGAGCTTTGGGATTTTGTGTTCATTTCTGTGCTATTTGGCCCCCAAAGCAATTGTGAGGGAGAGCAGGTCATTAAATGGTTATTCTCTGCAGTCTCAGGAAAGCTGCTTGTTTGAAAAAAGTCTTTGTTCCTGCAAAAAGTAGTCTTTGGAGAGTCACAGGAGACATCAGGTATATTAATAGAAACAGCAACACTACAACAGCTTTAGAATAGCTGCGATAGCTACTATTTAATCACATTTTTATGGAGAATGAGCTGAAGACTAGACCATTCAGTTACAGAATTTCCTGGAAATGCAGCTGATGCCTTTGGTAAGAGCAGGGGAGGCTGGAGGTCTTGGTCATGTGGTGGCAGCCCGCAAGTCCTCCAGAGACCTCAGCCTGGTGACATTGCATGGAGTGTGAGCTGGACCGGAGGAAAGAGTCGTTTATGGCTATGACAAGGAGATTAATCTTTAGGGTATTTGCAGAGTAAGAGTGTTCATGGAGGGGTTCTTGAAGCAGAGTTCCAAGCTTACGTTACCCCTTCTCCCTCTTTGAAGCCGCTGTACGATGCTGCTTACCTTACGATGTACAACATCTGCTTCACGTCGCTCCCCATCCTGGCGTACAGCCTCCTGGAGCAGCACATCAGCATCGACACCCTGACCTCAGATCCGCAGCTGTACATGTGAGTGCCRAAGGGCTGGGCGAGCCCGTGCTTCCTTACCTGAGGATGAAGCCTCCTTTGGGCAGCAAGGGCTGTCGTTTGGGCYGACGTGCCTGTCCCGTGCTGGAGACATGGCAGTAGCCAAACTGTCTGAGATGCTGCCTGTTTCTGCCTGTTTCTGCTCTCCAACTGTGCCTGGCCTAGCAAATTTCCCTGCAGTGTCTGCTGGGAGGTTGTCTCCACTCATAACTAGAAGCCAGTTGCAGAGGTGACTAACGCAGGTGTTGGAGCCTGGCAGTGCAAGCAAAGCACGCGATGCAACATGCAATGGGTAGATGTTTTCAGGAGAGAGGAGATCTATTAACCTAAAGAGGTGACTGCTCCAGCGTTCAGCTCGGGAAGGTAGCATCTCRGCTGGTCTAAACCTATACCCTCCATAGGCTTCTTCCCAAGGCTAAATCCCCGTTTAGGAGCATGTTGCCTGAGAGCTGAGCTCCTCAGTTGCACATAAGCCCATATTTTGGCTATGGACAGCCCTGTTTAGTAGAAGGTTCTGCCTTTAGGTTTTGCCAGCTTTCTTTCCCCTGGATATTTTCCTCCTTGCTTGACTGCAGCTGGGGGATGTCTCCAGCCCAAATATATCTCCTTGCCCCCTGCTCATGCTTGCAAACCAGGCTGCAGGCCCTGAGCAAGATGAAGGCTCTTCCCTTCCTGCCCTGAACCATCAGTGAGCTCTGATAGCAGGACTTCCACCTTTAGAAAACAAGGATCCTGGGCTCTCATGAGTGATGCCCATGCAAGGAAGCTTGCAGGTACCTTAAGGTATGRTGCAGAAGTTATCTTAGGTGTAGAAACATCAGCAAATGCAACAAGAGCTTTAAGACTGTGGATTTTTGTGCACTTTAGAAATACTGCTCACATATAAGATCAGACTTCTGCATTCTTCCACTCAGACGGCAAAAAGCCTCTGCATGTATTTTTAAATAATTTGTAATTGAATATTGTGCAGCAAATACCAGTAATAACAGGATGCTGTGCATTCACCTGCCTGGCTGGTGGGCTGTCTGATCACAGTGATATGGGAATTGAGGGAAAACAGACTTAATTGTGCTTTCAGATAGCTTCAGTCTGAATATTCATGACTTTGCATGTGCTGCTGAATACTGAATTACTCCTGTGCCTCTGCTGTATAAACTGCTGAGTTGCTGCAGTGCAGATCTTCAGTCARAGGCACTATAAAAAAGCCTGTTTATGACAAATGCTGTAGGACATAAACGAGAATGCAAAACAGAKCCTGCAGTGGGGAGGTTCTTTGCATTTTCTGGCACAGCAATAAAAACCTCTTGCAGTCTGTCTCATCCCTGCTGTCTGCTCACCTCCAAATTACAGCCTGGTGGAGCATCATAAGCCAGCAGCATCATAAATAAGGTTCAGCAGGGTTTTGTTTTAGAAACTAAAATTATACAAGTTCAGCACTGTACCCATTTGCAAGATGCATCATCCTGAAAATGGATGATTTACTTAAATGATTAGGAAGAAAAATGACAAAAGAATGGGAATTTTGTGACTGCTGTAAAAATGCCTCCCTCTTCCCATTAATCTTCAGGTTTGAGCAAGATGATCTGGAAAGATCCTGATATAGAAACAATGGTTGTTTCAACCTGGAGATGATTTCACAAGTAGTTTGGGGAAAGGCTTTTAGAACAACATTTCCTTTCTGTATTTAGTCACTGTCATGCTTGTGGTTTCAAGGCATCCGTAAAGCCTCCCATCCCTGTATCCCTGGTATTGATTCARCTGTCACCTGTGATGTTGGGGGACTGCAGAAAGGACCAGAAAAGCTAGAAGTAACCTTAGGATTCTCTGTACTCGGCTCTTACAGCTTTGCTAGCCCATCAGAGCACGCTCGTTTCTGCAGTGAGAGCAGCACTTACTCTGCTGCTGCTTTTTGTGAGGCCACTGCACGGCACTGTACATGTCACATCAGCTCACTGCTGAAATGCTGAAATTCCTGCRTTCAGCCCAAAACCTTCTGCAAAATCCCCTTGTTGAAACACCTGCCACCTAATACAGTAGCTTATTCTCAGCCTGGGCAGGAAAACGCTAAGCCCAAGAGCGGGACTCACTCTGTGGGTGAATTTATGCCACAAAAAGAGGGGGGAATGTGCCCCAAGTTCCTTGCTAGATACARTTCTCTTTTTTTCTGTATTGTTGGCCTGTTTTCAAGTTTAGCAGTTGTTAATCTCAGAGCTCATTGGCAGAGCAGCAGCTCTAGCAGAGAAGACCAGCTCAGTGCTACAGCTGTTCATGTTGGGTTTGGGCTGGCTGGGCTTTGACCCAGCTCACCGAGAGGTGATGGACAAGCACATTAACTTGCTGAATTTCTAATGACTCCTTAAGACCTGCAGTTACGTGTAACAAATGTGTCTGTGCTCTGCACACTGGCAGGACTATGCATATTTTCCCTTAGCTGCTCCTAAGTGTGGGTTGCAATGGACTTTGCGACTGGTCCAAAATGTGACACTGCTTTTCTTGTTTCTCCGTTTCTTGACAGGAAAGTTTCCGACAACGCCATGTTACAGTGGAAGCCTTTTTTATACTGGACCTTTCTGGGCGCCTTTGAAGGACTTGTGTTTTTCTTTGGAGTTTATTTTCTTTTTCAAAATTCATCATTGGAAGATAACGGAAAGGTAATAACACAAGCAAACAAACAAAAACCAGAAAGATGAGTGTTTCTTTTGCGCCCTGCCTTTTCTCCCTGCCTTTCTGCAAGTATCTATACGCTTAATCCGTGCGCTGCGTCTAGTCTTGTCCCACGGTGTAGCATTGCTTCTGCTGTGATTTTGTAGCAAATGCTGAAAACAAAACAGCTTGAAAATCACCATGGAAATCACGTAGAGACGGTTGCACTCTCTAGCTAAAATAACTAGACTCGCAAAGTGGGCTTTTTGTAATTTTCTAATTTTTTGTAATTTTATTCTGAGCTCTTGGCCTTTTCCCCATGGCTCCTGCAGCAGGAGCTCTGCTGACCCCAGGCTCCCAGTAAGTCCCTGCCTGTCGGTAGGCACGTGGCAACAGGTGGGACAGGTCTGTGCCCACTCCCAGGTGCTTAACTCCAAATAGGGGAATAAGTAAATATTGTTTTTGATGGGTTCATGGAGTGCAAGAGCAGCACAGCTCTCCCCACTGCCTGCACCGGGAACCAGCTTGTCCCAGGAAGCCCCTCCTGGGAAGGCACAGCACCTTGCCCGGCCCCAGCTTGACACAGTGACTTCTTTACACTCTCATTTGTGACTCTTGAAAATGCCCTGGCTTTTTTAAGGGATAATATGTAGAGAAAAATCTCATTAAAAACTTTTTATGTAAATGCCTATCTTGCAGAAATAGAAACATTTCTGGGCTCAGCTATATGTGGTCAGTGCCTGTGTGGAGTGCAGAGCCTTTCTGTACAAATAGCTGTTGTTTTATTCAAATACAACCATATGATCATGGATACCTCCTGCCACTGCCTTGAGAGGTCGAGTCTTTGTGGCACTGAAATAAGAGACGTGGTTATGTCCTGTTTTGTAAACACTAATGCCTGTAAAAACTGCTACCAGCAATTGTTCATAATACCCATGTATGTTTGATTGAATCCTTTTTCGCTCCTATTGACTTTATTTTTTTGCATTTTTTAAAAACTTTTACATTTCATTTTCTGTTTTAATGTATGCATTCAGATCTTGACAGCCTTTGGTAAGCATCTGTCCCATTCACTGCCATCGTTTGGATTTATATACAGTATCTGCTTTTCTTTGTTGTGCATAGTCACCAGTATCTGCCAACCAGAGCAGTATAATCTGGTGTGAAAAAATGACCATTGGTGCATTCTGCAAATGGTGAAATGCCATGTTGCATACAGGCACTCTGATGGTTCTGTGTTTAAAAGAAAGCAGAAACTGAGTAAATTACCAAGAAACCATTAAATATAGGTGGTCCCGATGACTTGTATTCTTGATCAACATTGCTGTTAGTAGGAGATTGTGTGTGTTGCTGTCTCGGCACTGGGTCGATGTCTGTGTGGTCCTGCATGGCACCGGGTGGGCGCGAGGGCGGCCGGCGCGTCCCGACTCACCCTCCATCGAGTCCTGCCCACTCTAGTTCCTGCCTGCGTAGTTTCCCATCACTTTTTACTGTTTCTTTGGAGCCACGTGGCCGGAGATGCATGTGGGGATGTGAAATGTTTTCCAGGTTTTCGGAAATTGGACCTTCGGGACTATTGTTTTCACCGTGTTGGTGTTCACTGTCACGCTGAAGGTGAGACTTCTGCTTTCCTAGTCATTTAGGTTTGCTCAGSTCTCCATGCATGGAGCCACTATAGTATGAAATTGCATCTTCCGTGCTGTAATAGAGTGAAGATGGCTCTAGCTCACCRTGCTCAGCCGCTGCTGAGCGGGACAGGAATCATAAAGCACATCTGTCAAACACTGCCAGCAAAACTGCTGCGGCTCATGGAGCTTTCCAGAACGAGCCGTTTGCGTGAGACATCACAAAAGGTCTTTTATGTGTAGTTGAGGACAGCAGGTGGTGACAGAAGGCAATTGCAGTCACCCTGACCTTTAGACTTTTTTTTTTTCCTGTAGCATCAGAGGGTGCATCAGGCTTGTTCCATTTAGAAGTGCCAGTTGCAATTAGGAACTCTTTCCATGTTGACGCTGTGCCATTTGGTAGATATTGAAGATATTTTCCTTCTCGTGCATAGGTCGAGCTGTCGCTGACTCGGGATACTTCAACTTTGCTGTGTAAGCAGCCAGAAACTTCACATACCTCCAACCAAATCAACTTTGCTTATAGTGCTGTTTTCTTTGTCTGTTTGCACAGCTAGCGTTAGATACGCGGTTCTGGACGTGGATGAACCACTTTGTGATCTGGGGCTCCCTGGCTTTCTACGTGTTTTTCTCGTTCTTCTGGGGAGGTGTCATCTGGCAAGTATCTTCCTGTCTTCTGCAGAGGGACAGGCAGCAGCGTCCCCTAATTTGGGCTGGAGAGATGTTGCTAAGCGGGGAAAAATACCAAAGACTTGGGAGGTTTGGGGGCAGCCCACAGGAATTAGAGCAGTGCAAGGCGAAAGGTGCAGATTTGGGGGAGAAACAGAGAGTGAGTTTCTGGGCAGGCTCTACCTGCCTGCATGGGTAAGGGAGGCTGTGCTGCCCGTGGTTTGATCTGAACCTCCCTCTGAGCGTGATCTAGTTGGAAAATGCACGTGGCTGATTGAGTTAATCATAATTTGTTTGTATCTCTTCTTTTTTCAGGCCTTTCTTGAAGCAGCAAAGAATGTATTTTGTATTCGCCCATATGCTGACTTCTGTTTCCACGTGGCTGGCAATAATTCTCCTGATCTTTATCAGCCTTTTCCCAGAAATTCTTCTAATAGTTTTAAAAAATATAAAAAAGAAAAAGCATCAGGTAAGGAACAAGATGATATACTGCACAGTGTGGTTACAAAAGTCTCTCCTAGGCATCAGATGAGCCTGTAGCAGTCCTGCCTGCCATTGGCATCTTGAGGAAGCCTTCCTCGAGTCTCATTTGCTCTTTCACGTGCCAGAAGTATCAGGAAGCTCATCTAAAAATACTGCATAGACCCGTAGCAAGGAGGGACTCCACCAATGCCTTTTCTTATGCATGCCAACCTGTTGTCCTCTATTTAAAGAGGGAAAAGCCCCACTTGTCCTGCTAACGCCGCAGCCAGCGCGCCCTTKTCCCTACCAGCACCCTGCTTTTTCCCCCTTGGTGTCAGCCTGCTTTGTGGTGACAAGTGACATCCTGCCAGGAGCCGGTGTCCAGCGAAACTGCTAAATTATTTTTCAGATAGTAAAGTGCAAAATAGGCTTCTCGTGGCGCTTTCTGTAGCCTGTGAGGCTCTAGTGCACTTTCTTCTCCTGGGATAACTTAGATCGATATAAGGATCAAAGTTGGTGTGATTATCTTCATTAAATAATATATATCAGGAAAGTTTAAAGGTTTGTCTCCCCCACAGCATTTGAAATAGAAGTTGGGCATCGTATCAGTGAAGTAAGACATGCACCTGCAAAACAAAAATTAAAGCTGAAAGGAATACAGACAGGATACCAGGAGGCTTAATATTATTTCTTCCCACTGAGTGTTATTTAATAGCTTCTGATGCCTTGACTGGATAGGGAGGGAGTGGTTTACTCACAGCAGTACATTTGAGATAAAGCTYTGTAAGATGTCTGAAGCAGATACCACCTCTGGGCGTCTGCAGTGGTGGCCTGAAACCCGAGTCAGTCACCTAATTTTTTTCCAGGCATCCAAGACCCAGCAGGTGYTTTCCGGCCAAGATCCCCTTTGAGAAACCTAAACTTAATATTTGCTCCCAAAGGGAGCATTAAATAAGAAGACAGGTTAGGGCACTTATTTAGGTCCCTGCTTCTCCAGATGCAAAGATTCCCAAAGATGGGGGGATTGAGGCCCAGTTAGGAGGAGTTGCCCTTGGCTTCTGTGGGACGAGTCCGCCAGTCACACAACACAACACACCGGCTCTGCTCAACCTCTGCTGAAGTTTCTGCATGGAGAAGTTTTTAATGGCAAGGCGCATGCATATTTTCCTTGGTTTCTGCCTTCCTCTTTCTTGTACTGCAATTTTCTGTCTTTTGTGCTATTGTGAACTAGGTAACGAAGCGCCTTCCTTCCTCAGGAACATCCACTATCTTCATGCTTTCTCAAACTTCCAGCAATCACAGCTTTTCTTGGAGCGAATAAGGTGATTTCCTTCCTCAGTCAGTACGTGTTGCTACTGCTTTTTCCTCCTTTTAACTCCTAACCGCTGAAAACCTGTGTTTAGATTTGCTCGCCCAGCAAGAGCTTGCTTTCCCCCGCATCCTTTTAAGTTACATCCTGTGTTTAGATGCGTCCTGTCTGTCTCATTCCCTTTGTCTCCACYCGCGCAGGTGCTGGCGACTCGCTGTGTGTCGGGTGTGCTGAGCTCGCCGTGCTCAGCGCCGGGAGCACTGGTGTCTCTGGGCACGTCCTTAGCYAGGGTACATGGTGCACGTCCCTGGAAATCGGTGGCACGGAGCAATATACTCTGCTCATGGAGCTGTCCCCCATTACAAGTAGTTCTGATGTCCGTCCCCTCTGCATTTTAGTGGATGAGATGATTAAAAGATGATGATAATGTCTAACGTGTGGAACAAAGTAGACCTCATTTTGATTATCCTTTGGATGACTTGGCCAACAGCGTGGGCTTGCTTGATTCAATGGCATCTTCCCCAGTGCCCTTCTCTGATGGACAAATAATGTTTGCTAACACTACRCTTGTTCTTTGGGCGGGTGAACAAGCACGTGTTAACCCTCAGGAAGGACATTGAGGGAGGCTGCGTGGCCACGTCTCTGGTGATGCTGTCAGTGAGCGTTATCAAGGCGTGCGTGTCCCTAGGGCTGCACCGCCAGGTAGGCTGGAGTGTCGCGTGTGCCCTAAGTGTCTTTGCCTCCCCGTTGCAGAGCAGTAGCAAGGCGTGTGACCCGCTGTCGGCCAGACCCGCGGTCAGACCACTGCTCTTAAGAACCTTCTSAGATGAGTCTAATGTGTTGTAACAGGTACCCTGCCCTCAGCAGCGGGGACGGCTTGGAAGGCGGTCATTAACCAAGTGTAACCCCCGAATTAATTAAACCCTGGTTCCTTTAATCATCTTTACTCTTGGTGTGGGGCATCTGTCTTTGTGGAATGGAGATGCAATGTTTGGGATGCGTTTTAATTTGGGGATCTTGTTCTGTTGAGCATTTTCCAGATCGCCTGTGTGCATAGATCCAATCACACTGCAGCTCGTACTGGAGCRTAATATTAACCCTCAGCTTTGCGTGATTCGCTGCTGGTGTCCTCAGGATAACAGTGATGGTAGAAGCTAACACTGATTTATTTGCAACGAAGTGTTTCAAGCCTCAACTATTAAAATGATTCCAGTATTGCATCTGAATAGCACCAAAATCCCTTTTTCTCCAGGGTGCATGCTGTCCTGTCGGATAGAAATGAGTACATCTTAATTCATCTGCRTAGATTTAAACTAAACATATTTAATTGTCTATATATGTCAACATCTTGTACAGCGGGCATGTCTCTCTGTCCATACACAGAGAGCATCCTCATGTAAGTTCATTTAATTCTAAATGCTRTAGTAAGCCAATAGCAGTATATCAAGCTATAGAAATAAGTAAAAATGCCTAATTGAATTCACAACTTAGCTTCCACGTGGAACATTATGTAGCCGAGTGGCATCAACTGCAAATATAAAACTATGGACAGGGTCTCTCTAGACCTCCTGAGTGTATCTGGCCTCTTGCATGTTGGGCACAGCGGACGTTAGGTGGAGCTCTGCACCATGCATGGAGATGGGCATGGACGCGCTCACCCAGCCCTGCACGAGACCCGAGGGGACAGCGAGGCAGATGCTGCCTTCAGACTCCTTGCAGCATTTTGCAAACCACCCAAATTCATTTAGGCTGCTGTTATTTCTTCCTTTGTGAATGAAATTGGGCATTTTTATTAGGATCTAATCATTCTTCTCCTCTTTCAAAAATTTTAAYCGTTTCTTTGCAAAAGTTACGCAAGGAAAAAAATGTTATGTCTTGGAGAACGTAATAATTACACTGTGTGTGTGTGTTTTCCTTCTGATTTTTGCAGACTGGCCCCTTTGATCTGCCTATGTTAATGTCATACAAACGCATAGAAAATGGTTATGTGAAGACTGAAGATGCTGTTACTAACTTGGCAGAAAGATATCCTCTCAGGATACTCTAAATGCTCCGTACAAACGCTGCATTTGGTCCTGCTGTAGGGAAAGAAAAACCCAAAACCCACCTGTCTTTAACCTAACGGTTCTYGTTAAAATTAACAAGAATTGTAAGCAGCCGTGCTGATGAAGCAGTAGCCAGGGCGCTGGCTCCAGAACCCATTTGTCTTTGGTCTTGTTGCTCCCACGCCCACTCCCAAAGTATCTTCTAAATCGAAAGTAATCGGAGGCTGAGGAAGCATCTTTGGAAATTCCGTAAAAACRAAACGCAAAAGCAGAAAAGCAGCAGCATCCTGCTGAGCACCATGGCTCTGTGGCTGCCCAGGAGCTATTTGGTGCCGAAGCCTCTTGCTTTGCCCAACCAAAGAAGCCGCGTGGACTTTAGAGGCTGCTCTGGTCCCATCCAGCTGCCCGAGGGCTCCGTGGGAAGAGCTGGGTCCRACATGGGAGCGCACGCAGTGCTGGGTCTGCGTCTGGCTCCACACGCAGCTGCAACGTCTGGYTCTGGGATGGGATGGATGGGGACGGCCTGGAGATGCCCTCAGCAATGGGGATGTGCGGTGGTCCTTGAGGAGCAGTGCGTCAATGGGCCCTTCCTGGAGGAAAGGGAAGAAGTGGTGGTTTTCCCTCRTTTCCCAGTGCTGCTCTCCGGACACGGGCTGTGCCTGGCCCCATGCAGGCTGTAGACTGCATCCGCAGTTATTTGCACTAAGAAAAAATAGTCATATGAAAATAAAAGGCATACGTTAGTCTGAGCTCATTGATTTTATACTTTACTTGGTTTTTAAATTGGCATGTCCTTTTTAAATCCACCTTTACTAAGACTTGTTTCTTTTTGGGTTGTAAATATCACATGCGCGTAGCAGAGATGTGGGATGCCTGAACCTCTGCKCTCTCTAATGCTTCAGAGGGGAAAAATGCAGCTGTTAACATTGTTTTGAATCCTAAAGGGTCACGGGAGCAGCTTGTGCGCCGCTGTCACRCGATGTGAAGGCTTGTCCTCGTGCTGACTTCCCGTTGCCTTGTTTGGTACCATCTGCATGGCAGGAGCTGCTGTGATGAGCAACCACGTCCAGCTCTGGAGGGACACCAAGCTTCGTGCCGCGGTCAGATCTGGCTCCATTGGGTTCCTCCTCGGCTCCATTTCATTTCTGCATGGAGCAACAGCAAACTGGGACTAGGCAGAGCATCCCCTTCACCTGGCTGTGTGGCGGATGGACGTGGGGACTGGTCCTGCACGCCCTGCACTGCGTCCCTGTGGCAGTGGCCACAGCTCAACTCCTTGCTGCATGCGAGCTGGGAGCTTCCAGCATGTCCCCCAGGCAGAGCTCCTGCCGCTTCCTTCTCTAGCTCCTCCGTGGACCTGGAATCCACCCTGCAGCCCTTGGCCAACTCTTGGCAATTTATTCCTAAACTGTGGTGCCTACAGACAAAGCGTGCGATGAACGCAAGAAGACGCGCTCTCTATGCCAAATCTAACCTTTCTCCTTAAATACGCACTTGCTCTCTTCTGTTTACATRACCTTCAAAAAGTGGGCACTGAAAGGCGTAATTCCTGTGATTCAAAACCATTCCAAGCCCAGATCGTCCCAAGTCTGGCAACCTGCTCCTCGATTCGCTCTGCGTTGCGTTCCACGTCGAGGGACAACCTCTCCTCCCGTGGTTTTGTCGATGATGTTCCGTGTGGGGAGCAGGATGAAGCTTGCAACGTTTTGCTATGTATGAAGTGTCCTCCTAAAGGTGCTCACACGGGCTAAACTGTGCAGCCCGGCGCAAGAYGAGCCTCCTGCAAGCCACGTCTCCTCCTTCCCGTTTGCGAGCATGCAGTATCACCRTGGAGCTGAACCGTTTGCTATAGCTGTGTCTTCAAACCCAAGGCCTGTGCAAGCTGCTGAAACGTGGGCTGAGGTGAACGTGAAGTGTCTCGAATGCCAGCTCTTTTTGGAAACGCACGTTTCCTTGCGTTTGGCGCTCCAGCTATTTCAGTGGCACCAGGACAGCCCCGTTGTCCTCCTTCGGAAGCAGCAGAAGGGAAGTTTCTGGTGCTGCAGATGCTCTGTGAAACGCAAGGAAACAGGAGACCAAGTCTGGAGTTGGAGGAGGACAGGAAAAGCGRTGATAGTGGCTGTAAAATATCCATAAGGATGAGATGGTGACGGTGATTTGACAGTAATGCTGTGATTGTTCCTATAAAAGACAATACAAGCTGCGCTGTTGCAGTGCTCTTCAGGGAGCTAACAGGTCAGTACAGGCTTATCGGTGGAAAAACTTGAAGGAAAAAGGCTAGGGCTTTTGCTAATAACTCATTGAAGTTTAATCACTGGTTAGTGACTCAAAGATAAAAAAAGTTAATTACAATTCCCCCTAAAAGTTTTTTTAATAGCAAAACTTGATGTAGGCATAGCTACTTTTCAAAAGAAAGAGGAAAAACTAATCTTCATTATTTTGAGAATGTTATAAATTACTTGGGATTGTGTAAAAGCTTAAATTGAATTTGTATACACACTGACAGTTGAAARCTGCACCTAATACTGCTCTATTCATCCAATTTCCCAGCCGTGGATTTTTTTTAAAACACCATGTAGTATATAGATAATGTAAATTATATACAGGCAATGAGAAGATACATTTTTTCAGCTTCTTGGAAAAAAATGGACTGCAACCTTACATTTTTTTCACTTAAATGCAATTTTATACATTTATGTTGCTTTATATAAAAGAGATCGAATGTGAATGTTACCTTTTATGAATGCAACTTGCTCTTTTTTCATTACAGAAACTTTTGTTTGAAGTAATCAATAAACTTTGGTATGTTGTTCTGATTAATATATTATATATATATATAAACCTTTGCCTGCCTTGTTTCCTTGGATTATAATATAGGCTTTTGTATGGGGGTAATTGGAGGACGGGTCAGCATTTTCCCTGTGTGCTGGATTAAATGGATAAGGCCACACATTTTCCTGCTGTACATCCCACTGATAGTAAGCAGCTTTTCTCAGGTGACCTCTCAGGGTTTTGGATGTTGGAGGGGTTTGCTTAAAGCAAGATATTAGGTGCTGCACCATCACCAGCAAACTTGCTATCTGGCTTATGCATTCTAGACTCATTTCCCTGAAAATGTCAAAATAAGAAAGGAAATSCTATGCATTGAGTGACTAAATCTTTCAGAAGCATGGAGCTCAGGGCTTTAGTTGAAGAGGACATTTAGCAAGCACGTTAAAAAAAGAATTAAAAAGCAGGTCTGCATGTCCAACTTCCAGTTTTTTGAATGCTGTATGTTGGTTCTGTGCATCAAACCTGTCTCTAATAAATGTTTTTAGTTCAAAGCCTAGAAATCCAGGAATGAGGGTTATTCTGTGGTTGGTAGGATGGCTGGAGCCAGTGCAGTGCAGGTTACCTACTTGCATTGGTCAAATTCCAACAACATAATGAAACTGTTAGAGCAAGGCTCACGTTATTTGTATAACGCATCAGAAAAACACATAGATAAGTTTATTTTTAAGGCTGTAGGTTTGTAATACACATAGTAAAAAAAAAAACAGTTTGAAAAATTCTGCTTTGGTTCCTTCCATTTATTAAGCTCCCATGAGCCACTGTTGGACAGATGGCTGTGCTATTTAAAACAAACTATAACCTTTAAGAAGAAGCTTGTGCTAGTGGAAATAAGATACGTGCATTGAGAATCTTAATAGCCTATGCTGAGTGATAGTGAAAATCCTCTGAAGAAAGGCAGCACCTTCTGCACTGAGCTGCCTGTCGCATGGACAGCAAGTGTCAGAGATGGAGGACCCCCATGGATCATGAGAAGCTTTGGAAAGCATCAGATAACACTTAAACTAAACCCTTAGGCAACACTTAAACCCTTATCTGTGTAGCATGTTGTATTAGAAAGGAGAAGCAGTTTCTTGGGTGTGGGGAAAGGACACATGAGCACCTTTATGTGTCCCCTGCCCCTTCCAAAGCAGTGGTGACAACAGCAAATGAGGTTTAAGTCAAGCTTCAGCAGTAAGTGGGAGAGTGTAACCAAGTCCTTCCCCTTTTCCCTTGACGTAGTTGCTGCAATAAGCTCATGGTCCTGGTGAAATCCATAGCCAACTTCAACTGATTCCCACTGGGCCAGGATTTCTTCTCATCCATCGCAGTTCTGCTCCCGGCCTGGCTCTGGAGACCAYGACCAGCCAGGGTTCAGCTGCTCTTCTTTTGGAGGACTTTGTTCTCACTGTTCCCATTCTGGCCATGACTCCCTTCAGGTAGGAGCTGTTTGCAACAGCACCTGTAAGAGGATGGGTGTTTTTGAGGAAAGACTTGGATGGTCTATTGGGCACCCAGAAGAGGAGATAGGTACATATTCATTAGCCACATGGGGAACCCTCTGATCAARCAGCTCCCTGAGTGGAGCCTCCAGTGCAGCTCTGCCTTGTGCTGTTGGGGACGTTCAGTGTGAAGGCAGCGGCTCTCAGAAGCTGCAGGAAGGAAACCTCAGGTAAGCRATGCTGGAAAAGTGCTATGATTTCTCCAAATTATAATAAAACTGCCGGGAATAAATAGCTGGCATATATMTTGATCATTCAGAGCAATCTCAAAAAGGGGACTAAAACACCACGAAGATGTGAATGGCTGAGGTTCCTTCAAAAAGAACATACAAACTTAGCTGACAACAGGCTTTTCTGATGGGTGGTTTCTTAAAACTGTAGTGGTACCAGYCAAAGCCTTCTAACCTTTATGTGCAACGTGTGTTTTCATTCATTATTTATAAATAAATAGTCTTGGACTATTGAAATTGGTGGGATTTCYCTCCCACTTCTTCTCCCAAAGATCTGAGGATAAAGAATTGTAACAAAATAGAAAACCAACAAATCCAAAGCACTCTGTTTGCAGAGGTGCCACAGAAGCGCATCTCTCAGGACCTCTTCTTGTGGTTCCATGGCTTGGATGCTCTGACCCAGTGAAGTTATAGTCATTTTGCCTTATGTTGAGAGAGTAGGAAATGAAGAGATTGCTAAAGCTTAGCATTRACGTAGCTATATCTTCTATTGCTTAGTTTTATTTTCCCTGAAATCAGCGCTGAAGGTGGGTAGCTGTCGCTCGGCAAGGGTGAGTCCTGCCTGCAGTGAACCCTTCCCGGCAGGGACGGAGCGAGAGGAGCCTCGCGGCAGCGCTTGGAGCGGCCTCGTGGCTACGTAAAGTGTGGCTGTTCAGGGAAAAACAGCTTTCTTGTGCTAAGGAGAGAGCAGGAATGCAGCATTTCTGTCTTTCCATGCCTGTAGCCTTGCACATGGCTATTTCCAAAGCTTGCCACTATCTACAGGGTTAGATTTTTCAGTGGGTGAGGGCACGTGAGCTCTTCCCGCTCCACAAGACACACTTTATGACCAGACCAAGAGCTGTCTGCTCAAGCCATTAAGCTGCTGAGAATCTGCTGCGGTAGGAACCAAGTGCACTGACTCAATGCACTGTTTTTCCATGTAAAACTCTCCACAGGTATAAGGAGGAGCGCGACCAAAACGCAGGGTGTTTTCATGTTACCGCTGTTAGAGTTTGAGACCTAAATTAATAGCCCTGAATGGTGAAGTGCAGGGGGGGAAAAGGCTGCTATAATAGCACAGCAGCGTAATTAAAAGGTTGTTTTGGAAAAACAGGAACATCCACTTCTCTGTGCTGGCTTCCCAGCTAGCTGGAGCTCCTGTTGAGAGGGAGCCGGCGTCGCCTGAACCTCGGGATCGGACAGACGGGGACGGTGGGTCGGGTTGGCTGTGTAGGGACTATGGTCCCAACCAAGCCCAGCTTTGGCGCTTTGGTTGTWCATGTGGCTTAAAGTAAATCTCAGATGTTATTCTAAGAATCTGCTAGAGCACTGCTTGCAAAAAAAATCTTAGAGAAAGTTAAAACCTGCAGTTAAAAGGTTAAAATCTGCAGTTTTGCAGATGCCAGTAGTAAATGTAAAAGGTATGAACGTGCTGGCATCTCTGCATGCACAAGGATGGCTCTCTGCCTGCAAACTCCAGGCCAAGGCGCTCCTGACCCAGCCCTGTGTGGCATCTGGGCGCTGCTTGGGGGCTCAGGGGCCAGTTTAAGGGCTGCATGTCCCGCTGTTGCAAACTTGTGTGAGCCGATGGCTGGGGGCGATGGGAGAGGTTGGGGAGGAGGAGGAGGTACCCAGGAACCAGGGACTTTGCAGTGGGGAAGAGCTGTGGGAGCGGGATGACTGTGCCTGGGATGGGGTCCCTGCTCCGAGGCTGGGCGATACCGTGCAGCTTAAACACGACGTGCTCGCCGCGCGGCTGGGGGCAGCCCTTCCCCGTGCAAAAAGAAAAAAAAAAATAAAGAAATAAAGAATGAAAAAGGAGAA